GCCATATTACAAATTACAAGTTACAAGTATGGTAGTGTCAATAAACATTTAATTTAAACATTGTTTAACAAAGACTTTCTTCTTTCATATACATCATAAATAAACAGGCACAGTGACTTTAATAGTATATTTCTCCAGCTGATATGATTCTTCCTTATGTAAAAAACTACAGTATTAGATGTTTTCGAGTTAACAATCATTCTCTACTTATCTGCATAAGTTTCTGGAATATTTATTTGACGCTTTAATCCACACCTTGTGTCAGAAACCCTGATTAAGTTATTAATACACAACAAACATTGATGCTTCTATATCTTGAATTGAAGTCAATTCACTTTTATATACTAAAACTAACAAAGGGCTCAATATAGACCCTTGTCGTCAACCAAGTGGACAGGTAATCTGTTAATCTGGATAACATAAACACATGCTTTTACTGATCAGTATTCTGTGAAGCCCATTTCTGGGGTCCCCCGCCGTGATATTGCTGGAATATTGCTTAAAGCGGCGTAAAACTCAAACTCACTCACTGATCAGTACTCACTTTGTAATGACCTCACAATTTTACCATGTAAACCAAAAGAAGACAATAATCTTCTTTCTTTGTCCAACTGACAAAAAAAGCCATTTTTTAAACAGTAAAAGCTGAACACATTTTCTACTTTTCACATTTTTCAATAATTGCACGAATTTTGCCCATTTTGTAAAATGTATCACCTAATGTGCATTTGATGTGCATGCTCAGTTAATGAGCATGGGTTTTTCAATGACTCATTCACTCTCTGCCTTGCTTGTATTTTTTCGTAAGGATCATATCCTGAACATATCACTTTCAAATTGTATACATTTTAAAACTATGTTTTAAAAAACTAGTTGAATATAAATATCTGTAAAGTGAATATTGCAATATAATAGGTCTAACGTGCAATATATCCCAGTCTAAGTAGGCAGTAAGTACTTGATGCCAAATGCCAGCTCAATTACTTCATCTTGATAATGATCCTCATGGTGGGGTGCCACTCATCAGGTAAATAGTCAACAACGTTTGCGTGTGTATATAAGGCACCTGTTAGAGAGCCTCCTCTCCATCCATCCATCCTCACAGACAGAAAATACGCATACGACTGAACAAGATGAAGACAGCGATTCTTCTCGTGCTGGTGGCAACATTTCTGTGTGGTAAGCATGTTTGTGTTTGTGTCAAGATAATGTACCCGCGTTCGTCACTGCAACTGTGTAAGTACGGCGTAAAGTAACACTGACTTCCTTACAAAACGAGAGCGAAGGAGATAGTTTCAACTTTTCCTACATGTACGTATTCTATAAACCTATAGCCGAATCCTCTATCAAAAGTCAAAATCAGCAAACGTTTAATTACTGAGTGAGTTGGGTTTTGACGTATGTCACGGTGTATAACCTCGTGCTGGACTAGTTAATTGTTTATAACTCGGCAGTAGTTAGATCCAGCACATAATATTGTATCTGTTGATAAGATGTCGAGCAATCGCAACATCAAGATTAATCTGTATAAACAGAGGTACATGTACAAATGGCAACCTGAATAACTGTATAAACGTCTTCCGTCGTCAGCCTGAGGATTTCAGAACGTCTCACTTTGCTTACAGTCTATCTAACATGCTGCACATTCTACCACCTTGTCAACATCTTATGGCACGGTTTTATTATAAACTTGTTTGAGTGGCATTTAGAAGTTGGTGAGGTGACGTCAATCACTTACTGTTCAACTTTTCTATGTATATATATTCCTTGCCTCCAGTATTGTACATCATTTGCTTGATAACGGTGTTAGTAGCTACACCGAAACGTCGCTCATATTATATTAAAGAAGTTGTATATCCATAGAACTCTCCTCGTTGATTATTACGCACTGACGCACAAAAGTATAACTGTTTGATGGTGGAAGGGATGGTCAGAAGAGAAGCTGAGGTTAGTTCACGAATCTATTATACTTGAACATGGAACAGAAACTGATGCAGGTTTTCTTGTCATATATGTTACTAGTTATATTTCGTATTCTATGCAAAGCGCCATCAAGTTAAGTTGTTTTTTTATTTTACAGAACAAGGACATGTTTTCTAAGCCCCATGCCATTTGGCCGTGGCCTAGTGGATAGAGTGTATGTCTGGGGACGGAAGGGGGGTGGTTCGATCCCAGTTTACAGTTTACGTATACAGACTACCAAACTAGTAGACGCGGTCACATACACATGCATGCACGTTAGGGCAATAACTTAGTGGTATAGTGGATAGAGTGTATGTCTGGGGACGGAAGGCAGTGGTTCGATCCCTGCCGGCTTGCGTCCAGACAAGTAGACACAGTCACATACACATGCATGCCCGTCGTTATGTCAGTGCTATACAGTACAACCAGAAATTATTGAGAATTTAAATATTGTAATTTTTTTTTTTTTTCACTCATTACTCACGTATTAAATGTGAATATTAGCAGAACATAACTCCAGATTCAAAGACAGGTGAACAGTTAGTATTTTGTCAAGTCACCATGGGCAGCAATGCAGGCTTCAATGAGGCGGGGCATACTACTTATCAAAGAAGTTAGAAAGTCGTGGCCCATGCTGTCCCAATATCGGACCACCTCTTCTTTCATTTCAGCAATATTTGTCAGATTTTTCTTATTGACACTTTCCTTTATAAGTCCCCAAACATTTTCTATTGGATTTATGTCAGGGCTATAGCTTGGCCAATCTAATAATGTCATATTTTGGGTCTGAAACCAGGCCTGTGAATGCTTTGAACGATGTTTTGGTTCGTTGTCCTGCTGGAAAATCAAAAAATTTCCATAGAACAAGTGAGCAGATGGAAGTAAATGTCCCTCGAGAATATATGTGTACCGCTCACTGTTCATATTCCCTTCAAATACACAGAAAGGCGTTGCCCCTAACACAGATATGCCACCCACACGTTAAATTTCGGACTGTACTTTGGGCGCTGATACAAAGGTTTTTCAGTTTGTTTGGTCCAGAATTTCAGTGTATTAGGAAACAGCCACATAGAACTTTCATCTGAGAAAATCACATTGTCCCAGTTACAATTTCTATGCTGTAAGCACCAGTTCACCCTTCGCTCCTTTTGTTCAGGTTTCATGATCAGTGATGGAATTCCTCGATATTTCTGCCAACCCATTGCATGCAGCTCAGTTCTAATTGTCTCCTTACAGACAGCCCCAATTCCTCTATCAATCATAACCAGCCTTAAGTGTACTAAACTCCTTCGTTTGTTTTTAGAAACAAGAATACCAAGTCGCCTCCTGTCACCGACAGTCAATTTTCTGGGCCTACCTGCGCCTCCCTGGTGCTCAATGCCATATCCATTTGCAATATTTTTCAAAACACGATAAACAACGACAAAGGGATGCCTGTTCTACTTGAAATCACTTGAGCTGATCTGATGTCCTTGTTATAATACTCTAAAATCAACTTCCTCTTCTTTAAATCATCCATACTGAGGATCACTGAAAATGTCGTCTGCTAGCAAGTAAACGAAGGGGATAACTCTTCATAAACTAATGAAAAAGGATTAACGGAGTTGTCTCTCTTGAATGAAACCAAGCACTTGATAGCTGGTCAAGGTTGTTTATATTAGAAATCCAATTAAACATATTCCTAAAATTCTGACCGCCTCCGTGGTGTAGTGGTTAGAGCGTCCGCCCGGAGAGCGGAAGGTCGCGGGTTCGATCCCCGACCGCGTCATACCAAAAGACGTTAAAATATGGTACTTGTTGGTCCCTGCCTGGCGCTCGGCATTAATGGGTACAACAAGGACTGGTCGGCTCGGAGTCAGTATACTGTGTCTGAGTGGGGTATTCATGCTTCACTGCGGCATGGTATCTCAGTGGGCTAGCACTATAAAACCAGCTTAAGTCTGGGCTAGTACAAGCAGCCGCACCTACACATACACAGTTTTATTGTATCAGGTAGAAATGATCTGGCATATGTCGTCGGTAAGATGGAAGATTTGTAGATAATTTCTAAACTTTTACGCGATAATCGATATTTCAAACTTCTTGAGCATTTAATCAGTGGGCTAACTTTCGTTTCATAGAGTTTATGTGAATATCCCAGTAACGATTATTTTGAAGGGTCAAGATGCTTATGATTGTCTACGTCTTAGTTATCACACCGTTCATTGTAAGATCAGGTTCAATGCTTCTATTTAGTTTTCTACTGAACTGTATTGATTTTGTTTTGTTAGGATTGAATGAAACCTTCCATTCTTTGGCCCAATTTGGAATTCCTAATAAGTCATTATTTAAACAGTCTGCAGCTATGTCAGGATCATCAATTATAACGTATAGAGACGTGTCGTCTAATGTTACTAGCAATATCATAAACAAGAGTCAGTATAATGTGTCTGAGTGGGGTATTCATGCTTCACTGCGGCATGGTATCTCAGTGGGCTAGCACTATAAAACCAGCTTAAGTCTGGGCTAGTACAAACAGCCGCACCTACACATACACAGTTTTATTGTATCAGGTAGAAATGATCTGGCATATGTCGTCGGTAAGATGGAAGATTTGTAGATAATTTCTAAACTTTTACGCGATAATCGATATTTCAAACTTCTTGAGCATTTAATCAGTGGGCTAACTTTCGTTTCATAGAGTTTATGTGAATATCCCAGTAACGATTATTTTGAAGGGTCAAGATGCTTATGATTGTCTACGTCTTAGTTATCACACCGTTCATTGTAAGATCAGGTTCAATGCTTCTATTTAGTTTTCTACTGAACTGTATTGATTTTGTTTTGTTAGGATTGAATGAAACCTTCCATTCTTTGGCCCAATTTGGAATTCCTAATAAGTCATTATTTAAACAGTCTGCAGCTATGTCAGGATCATCAATTATAACGTATAGAGACGTGTCGTCTAATGTTACTAGCAATATCATAAACAATATCATTAATATATATTATGAACATTAGGGGTCCTAAGACTGGGTTTCAATATTACTGTGTATCTTTCATCCTGGCACTAAAACAACTTAATTTCAACATTTAACAACCTACACAAATTGTTCTACTCACTAGAGGTTTATCTTTCATCATGAAACTAATCAACTTTTAGCTGATCCCAAATTTCCTTGACACAAAACACTATCCAATTTGTAAAATTGTTCTACTCACTAGAGGTTTATCTTTCATCATGAAACTAATCTCCCAAATTTCCTTGACACAAAACATTAAACAACAGCTTAATCCCTCCCTTGATCTCATCTGTATACTCTATGCACTAATCCCTCCCTTGATCTCATCTGTATACTCTATGCACTAATCTCTCCTTGGGTCAGTCCATTATGCCAGACAGGTAAATGCCGTGTGTTGTTTTAACTAATTGTAGGGGTACTGGGGTGTAGGGGTAATGGCATGTAGGGGTTATGGGGTACAACCAGAGTCAGTATAATGTGTCTGAGTGGGGTATTCATGCTTCATTGCGGCATGGTATCTCAGTGGGCTAGCACTATAAAACCAGCTTAAGTCTGGGCTAGTACAAACAGCCGCACATACACATACACACGCATGCACGTCGTCATATGAGCGAAATATTCTCAAGCACGACGTAAAACCCAATTTCACCTCACCTCACCTAAAATTCTGAATAATTTCTGGTCCTACTATAATTATGAAGGTGACGTTTAACCCTATTTTACACATCTCAGATGTTACTTGAGCCATTCTATTTGTTTAAGCCAATTCCTTGCCAGGAATATGCACATGCCCTTATCTTCTGTCCCCCGTCTGTGACGCCAATGGGAACTTCTACGACAACTCCTGTCTCAGAGACTGCCAGTAAGTACCGGAATACAGACTTTGAAGTATCATCCTCGGTACTCAAGGGTTTGTTCGACTAGCTGAAACCTTAAACCACTGGTACATTCTTTTTCCAATGGATACCCAATACCGTACTAATGCATGTCAATGATGAAGGCTGTTTTATGCTTTGTTCGTCATATGCATATAACAGGGATTATTACACGAGGAAAGGGATAAGGATAAACGGTTTTAAGTTTATAGGATAGGATAGGACTGAACCCACGCCCTTGATCCGCAAAAGATATGAGCAGATCACGCTCAATTGACCGACTGTATTGCATCCATTCAGCATTCGTCCCGTGTACATTATAATTGATTATAATCAAGATCAGCGAGTGGTCAGGCTCTGTCACTGGCTGATGGCATCACATTGTTCAAGCACTAGAACCTAGCGCCTATTGCTTATGGTACAATATCAGCGACCAGGCCCTCTGATTGGCTAATCGTATCACAATGTCTCGGGTTTGTCCCCAGTAATTCTTGCTTGCGGTAAAAGATCAGTGGGTGGCCAGGCTCTGTGATTGGCTGATTTTGTCGCAAAGTCTCATCACTGGAACCAAGTATCTCTTGATTATGGTAATAAGATCAGCGGGCGAGCAGGTTCTCTGATTTGCTGTTTCTGTCGCCGTAGGGTGCCTTATGAAACCACAGGCAAACTGTAGCAAATGAGGTTGCGCAACAGGATTCGCTCGCATAAAGAAAGAGTGGTCATTTTTCTCTCTGTTGCGCAGCCCTATTTGCGCTACAGTTTGCCTGTGGTGGAACGTTGCCTATAATTTCACAGCTTTATTTGAGTATTTACCTAAGAGTATTTACAGACCGCTGAGTTCAATATTGCTTCTACAGCGTTTAACAGTCACTTACTCCACTCATATTGTTCTGATAGTTGACGTCCCTAACACAGAACCATTAGAATTTTACCAAATTGAAGATTTGATGGTTTCAGTGTGACCTGGGTAGGTCACGGTTACCCAGTGTTATCAAGCTGACCAACACAGCAATATTGACATAAACCAATGGGCAAAAGAAATCATGCACCAATGTCCGCTCGAGGCTAAATCAAACCAGAGATGGTCATTTGGTAGAACAGTATTCGATACATGCAACATAGTTGACTTTAAATGACTGTAATGGCTTCATAGCGTTTGAAATTATTTAGTCAAATAGAATTTTCAAGTATATACATGTACTTCCTTCAGAGGCAATACTACTGTCGGTAAACATTACTGGTCATCCCCTCCACTGTCCTTCATTGACTTCCTTCGTATTTTTCAGAAGTGGGGAGGAATCTAATGCCTACACCCCGGACTTGGACTGGAATAACCGGAGGTGTTTGCCTGCTTAGCTGACCTTAGCCGTCCTGAAACATTTACATGCAACTCACCACTCCTACCCACGTCCGTGACTATTCCGGAACTAAACCTGTCTTTTAATAAAGCATTGTAAACATTGAGGGCGATTTTCGGTGTCCTTTATCCTTTTGTAATTCGTTGACTGTAGGTGCAGAGTTGTGTCCTTTTGGCATACCAGGAACTTAAGTTTGTGGGTTCAAAATCAGATTCGACCTGAAGGTTTCTAGGTCTTTGAGAAAACCTGCGTAACTTAATTATTTCCTCTCACATCAAGCCGACAACCAGTGAGTTTAACCAAAGGTTCTCATTCTTTGCCTGCATGGTCAAAGATGTTATACATGATTTCGGATAGAACACATATTGGCATAGCCTATTGGATCCATCAACAGGCCAACGTCACCAGTACCATTTCCCGCATAAGTACAATGTTGAAAGACTTTGCCTCGAGTGCTATTGTTGGAATATTGCTATCAGCTCACTTCGGTGGGACAGCTCTCCAGGCAGCATTCAATATTGATCTGTACTGACTGAAGTTCGAAATATTCTTCTTCTTCAGTGTTTGTTTTCTCTATTGTACTATAATACTCCTCCCAAACGGACATAAGGTATTTGATGGGTTTGTTTGTTTGTTTGTTTAACGCCCCACTTAGCAATATTCCAGCTATATGGTGGCGGTCTGTAAATAATTGAGTCTGGACCAGAGAATCCAGTAATCAAAATCATGAGCATCGATCGAGGCGATTGGGATACGATGATGTGTCAACGAAGTCAGCTAGCCTGACCACCCGATCCCGTTAGTCGCCTTTTACAAGCATGGGTAACTGAAGACCAATTCTTACCCGGATCTTCACGGGTGGGAGAACGGTAATACTCTGGATAACTGTGGATAATTCCCCTTTCAAACTGTGACATTCATCTTCATATTACCATGTGGCCGAAAGTCTGTTCGCAAAACATGTTACGTTGCCAATGTTTTGAGTGGTAGGTTGACTTTGAAAGCGTTTCGCCGTGCTGATAAGACACCAATCGTAATGTGATTTGGGGTACACATTTCACAGGTCACAAAATATGCGTAGCAACCATAATATGCAATTATCAACCGAGAATTGACACCTGACCAAAGAAATTTAATTGTTGAGTTGAATCACCAAGGCCAATCAAGCTACAAAATTGCTGATTTGACAGGTATAAATCCTAGAACAATTCAGAAAATTTTAAAACATTTTCGGGAGCGAGGTTCAGTTAAATCGTTGCCGAGAAGTGGGCGGCCCCGAAAATCGTCACCAAGAATTAAGTGAACGACGGCTTTTTCGTCTTGTGAAAAGGAATCGCCGGCAAACACTTGGGGATTTGACAGCAAAATATAACAATCAGGGACAGACTACACTGTCTTCTCGCACTGTCAGAAGAAGATTGTTCACTGAGGGGTACGTACCGTAGGTCTGTGGTAAGCAAGAAAATCACCATTTCTCGTGTTAACAGAGAGAAGTGACGCCGATTTTGTCGGACAAAATTGCATTGGGGAAGAAATGAGTGGGATAATGTCATTTCTAGTGATGAGACACAAGTCCAGATCGATAAATACAGAAAAGTTTATGTGTGGAGAAAGTCGGATGAGCGGTTGCGACCCGATTGTTTGGGGATTCGTACCGATCATGAACGAAATTCGAAGTTTTCAGTGATGTTTTGGGTGTGTCGGCGTATGGAGTGGGAACTTCAACTGTTGTTGATGGCAACATGAACACTGATCAGTAAGTACATTGCCATTCTTGACAACCATTTGTGGCCTGTAGTTGCCAGGCATTTTGTCAACCGCAATTGGATTTTTCAAGAAGTCAATGCCCCTTGTCATGTGTCCGTTCGGGCTAACCGTTGGAAACAGGAAAATCATATTCCGACTTTGCCGGACTCCGCTAGAAACAGCCGTGACGACACCGGTGAGAACATACTTTTGGCCACTGACTGTAGGTGAAAATAATCAAATAAAATGTCACCTTTAACTGAGTTAGAAACGTTGTCCCCCATAGATCGAAGGACTGACGGAAAAATGACTAGTGACATACCATCTGTAATTCAATGTAGCTCTTTGGCTAAAACGTGAACAGTCATTCACACAGCTTTCTCATTAAGACTGAATATATATACCAGGCAAAACTGAAAATTCTGGGTAAACTTGGTCATTTTCAACCCATGCCTAACACTATTTGCAGTTTACACTTGTCAGAGATAGGTCAAGCTGGTCAAATATGAGACCAGCTAAGCTGATCATGTCCATGAAAATCGCTGTATCACAGATATGTCAAACCACTCACCCATGTGGCCAACCTAGGCTGATAGTTAGTCGTTCACCGTGGCGGATCCAGAAAGAATTCCCTGAGGAGGATTTCCCCCTAACCTTTGGACACACACGTGCACACACACCCTTGTTCATCCGCCCCTGGTTCATGTGCCTTTCAAAACAGGCAGGCCAGGCAAGCATGCTGGCAGACAACGGGAAGAGTACGGACAGACCAGCAGAAAGGCAAGCCAGGGACAAGGAAGGTTGAACTGATCAGCCAACCCAGCCAATCTGCTGCCCAAGTATCAACCTGACTTCACTACCACTGATCACAGTCTCCGTCGAACTCTGAGCAAACTATTTGCCCTGCCTCCCCCAACTGTACCGTGAGTATAAACACCCATTTTTTCTAAGCCACTTGTTGTTTGAAGGGTGCCAGAGGTGTTACATAAGAAGCAACTAGAAGGATCTGGTGGTCAGATTCACCAACTTGGATGATTCATATCATCATATCCCAATAGCGTAGATCCATGCTCATGATCAGGTCTTTGAATGGCATTTACAGTCTGTTTGGATCAAAAGCGGACCGATGAATTGCAACCTGACTTGAAAACTAATAGACATATAATACTCAATGAAACGCTGATCTTAACCAAAACAGACCAACTCTTTGAGTTTTTTGGCAGAAATTATGTCCTAAAAATAAAAAAGTTGTTTAACACACTGTCATTAAAATTTGACACAGTTCCCTCATTTGTTTCGAGGGAGAAGTGCAAAGAGAGGAACAGCCAGGTGTACGCGAGGCACATGCACAAGTGCCGACAAACTTATTCATTCCTTTACCCGTGCTGAGCCGTCTCCATCCTTTCTGCACATGGTGGCTGAGTGAAATCATGTATCCTATCTATAAATTCTTCAAACTGCACATTTGTCCACTTTGATGATTTCCAACGCTGATCCTCCACGAGTCAGCTAGGTTCATGCTCATGGGTCCAGTCATTAAAGACTGAGAAGAGCATCACAAAAATATTTTTTTCTAACACTGAACCTACTCCTTGCGATTTAACTGAAATACTCTTCAAAGCTTTATTGAACCAAATTCACTCACTCATGTACAAAGCAAGCCAAAAGCCATTCATCATGTCTATGGTGCCTGTAAACCAAGCACCATAACTGGGATTCGATCACATGACAACCATCCTGACACAATTCAGTTTGTTTGTTGTTTAAGGCTGCACTCAGCAATATTCCAGCTATATGGCAGTGGTCTGTAAGTCTGACCATCCAGTCACGTTAGCCGTCTCTTACGACAAGCTGAAGGGTTGCTGAAAACCAATTCCAACCTGGATCTTCACTAGTGACACAAATTAATTCAGATTTGACAGCCTTTGAGCACAAGCACTCCTCCCCAGGTTGCTCATTTGCAAATATTACCATGGATGATGTTCGACATTTGAAAGGATTTTCTGAAACAAAAGAACTTGAATAGAAATCATATATATTTTTCAAGACAGCAAAAAACACTATCACAGTTTATAGTATTAAAACCTCCAGTGAACAGGAGCACTGCTAAATGAGGAACACCCTTGCTTGGTACCATCTGGATTTGGCACACAACCACTTCAAGGAGTGTCCATCAGGATATATGCCATTCAAGGAACAGAACTCCCCTGAGAGGCAGTGTGCGAAATAGTTTCAAAATGTTTTTAGCCAGTCGGGCTAGCTAGGCCTGAAAGTTACTAGCCCACAAAACAATTCACTAACCAGTCAGGCCAGTTACTGTGGAGATTTACTGGCCTGACTGGATTTTTACTAGCCACAGCCTGGCAGGCCAGTGGCTATTTCGCACACTGCTGTAGGGTACACATCTGGAGATCTCTTTGGTGGACACAACCCTTTCGCAGAGTACCCATCAGAAGATATGCTATTCAAGGGACATAGCCCCCCCTGTGGGGTACCTATCGGGAGATCTGCTGTTCTGAACAGGGATACAACCACTTCACGAGAAACAATCATGATGTATGAAACTCAACAGACATGCCAGGATACCCGCCGTTCAAGGGACATGCTTGGTGCCCATCAGGATACCTGCTGTTCAAGGTACATGACCTCCTTTCTTGGCACCAACTGGGATTGCTGCTGTTTCAGGGATGGATACATCTGTTGGTTGGGTACCAGTAAAGATGTCTGGTGAAGATCTGACAGCCCAGGTTACCTGTTGAACATGACAACCAGTTCACAGTGCTTTGTGTGAGGGAACATATCTACACCAACTGCCTCTACTGGTACAAATGGCTCCCCTTCAAGCTTGTGACTCATTGGCACAATCAGACTGAAACACAAATGACACCAATGTATTGACTTCAGACACAATACCTAGAGACACACAGTCCTGTACAAGACACTACACATTGACAAAAACACAGTCCTGTACAAGACACTACACATTGACAGACACAGTCCTGTATAAGACACTACACCTAGACAAACACAGTCCTGTACAAGACACTACACTAGACAAACACAGTCCTGTACAAGACACTACACATTGACAGACACAGTCCTGTACAAGACAACACCTAGACAAACACAGTCCTGTACAAGACACTACACCTAGACAAACACAGTCCTGTACAAGAGACTACACCTAGACAAACACAGTCCTGTACAAGACAACACCTAGACAAACACAGTCCTGTACAAGACACTACACCTAGACAAACACAGTCTTGTACAAGACACTACACTAGACAAACACAGTCCTGTACAAGACACTACACATTGACAGACACAGTCCTACATCAGACACTACACCTAGAGACACACAGTCCTGTACAAGACACTACACATTGACAAAAACAGTCCTGTACAAGACACTACACATTGACAGACACAGTCCTGTATAAGACACTACACCTAGACAAACACAGTCCTGTACAAGACACTACACTAGACAAACACAGTCCTGTACAAGACACTACACATTGACAGACACAGTCCTGTACAAGACACTACACATTGACAGACACAGTCCTACATCAGACACTACACCTAGACAAACACAGTCCTGTACAAGACACTACACCTAGACAAACACAGTCCTGTACAAGACACAACACCTAGACAAACACAGCCCTACATCAGACACTACACCTAGACAGACACAGCCCTGTACAAGACACAACACCTAGAGACACACTGTCCTGTACAAGACACTACACCTAGAGACACACAGTCCTGTACAAGACACTACACCTAGAGACACACAGTCCTGTACAAGACACTTCACCTAGAGACACACAGTCCTGTACAAGACACTACACCTAGAGACACACAGTCCTGTACAAGACACTACACCTAGAGACACACTGTCCTGTACAAGACACTACACCTAGAGACACACAGTCCTGTACAAGACACTTCACCTAGAGACACACTGTCCTGTACAAGACACTACACCTAGAGACACACAGTCCTGTACAAGACACAACACCTAGAGACACACTGTCCTGTACAAGACACTTCACCTAGAGACACACTGTCCTGTACAAGACACAACACCTAGAGACACACAGTCCTGTACAAGACACTACACCTAGAGACACACTGTCCTGTACAAGACACAACACCTAGAGACACACTGTCCTGTACAAGACACTACACCTAGAGACACACAGTCCTGTACAAGACACAACACCTAGAGACACACAGTCCTGTACAAGACACAACACCTAGAGACACACAGTCCTGTACAAGACACAACACCTAGAGACACACAGTCCTGTACAAGACACAACACCTAGACAAACACAGTCCTGTACAAGACACAACACCTAGACAAACACAGTCCTGTACAAGACACTACACCTAGAGACACACTGTCCTGTACAAGACACTACACCTAGAGACACACAGTCCTGTACAAGACACAACACCTAGAGACACACTGTCCTGTACAAGACACTACACCTAGAGACACACTGTCCTGTACAAGACACTTCACCTAGAGACACACTGTCCTGTACAAGACACTACACCTAGAGACACACTGTCCTGTACAAGACACTACACCTAGAGACACACAGTCCTGTACAAGACACTTCACCTAGAGACACACAGTCCTGTACAAGACACAACACCTAGAGACACACAGTCCTGTACAAGACACTTCACCTAGAGACACACTGTCCTGTACAAGACACTACACCTAGAGACACACAGTCCTGTACAAGACACTTCACCTAGAGACACACTGTCCTGTACAAGACACTACACCTAGACAAACACAGTCCTGTACAAGACACAACACCTAGACAGACACAGTCCTACATCAGACACTACACCTAGACAAACACAGTCCTGTACAAGACACAACACCTAGACAGACACAGCCCTACATCAGACACTACACCTAGACAAACAGAGTCCTGTACAAGACACAACACCTAGACAGACACAGCCCTACATCAGACACTACACCTAGACAAACACAGTCCTGTACAAGACACAACACCTAGACAAACACTGTCCTGTACAAGACACTACACCTAGACAAACACAGTCCTGTACAAGACACTACACATTGACAGACACAGCCCTACATCAGACACTACACCTAGACAAACACAGTCCTGTACAAGACACAACACCTAGACAAACACAGTCCTGTACAAGACACTACACCTAGACAAACACAGTCCTGTACAAGACACTACACCTAGACAAACACAGTCCTGTACAAGACACTACACATTGACAAACACAGTCCTGTACAAGACACTACACCTAGACAAACACAGTCCTGTACAAGACACTACACCTAGACAAACACAGTCCTGTACAAGACACTACACCTAGACAAACACTGTCCTGTACAAGACACTACACCTAGACAAACACAGCCCTGTACAAGACACACCACCTAGACAAACACTGTCCTGTACAAGACACTACACCTAGACAAACACAGTCCTGTACAAGACACTACACCTAGAGACACACAGTCCTGTACAAGACACTACACCTAGACAGACATAGCCTACACCTAGACAAACAGAGTCACACAACACCTAGACAAACACAGTCCTGTACAAGACACTACACCTAGACAAACACAGTCCTGTACAAGACACTACACCTAGACAAACACAGTCCTGTACAAGACACTACACCTAGACAAACACAGTCCTGTACAAGACACTACACCTAGACAAACACAGTCCTGTACAAGACACTACACCTAGACAAACACAGTCCTGTACAAGACACTACACCTAGACAAACACAGTCCTGTACAAGACACTACACAGACAAACACTAGACAAACACAGTCCTGTACAAGACACTACACCTAGACAAACACAGTCCTGTACAAGACACTACACCTAGACAAACACAGTCCTGTACAAGACACTACACCTAGAGACACACAGTCCTGTACAAGACACTACACCTAGACAGACATAGCCCTACATCAGACACTACACCTAGACAAACACAGTCCTGTACAAGACACAACACCTAGACAAACACAGTCCTGTACAAGACACTACACCTAGAGACACACAGTCCTGTACAAGACACTACACCTAGACAAACACAGTCCTGTACAAGACACTACACCTAGACAAACACACAGACACTACACCTAGACACTACACCTACAAGACACTACATAGCCACAGTACTGTACAAGACACTACACCTAGACAGACATAGCCCTACATCAGACACTACACCTAGAGACACACAGTCCTGTACAAGACACTTCACCTAGAGACACACTGTCCTGTACATAGAGACCTGTACAAGACACTACACCTAGAGACACACAGTCCTGTACAAGACACTACACCTAGACAAACACAGCCCTACATCAGACACTACACCTAGACAGACACAGCCCTACATCAGACACTACACCTAGACAAACACAGCCCTACATCAGACACTACACCTAGATGTGTCAACACTGAGGGAACTAAATACACCAGACACTCTAAACAAAGACACTCACTCTGCAAAGTTGACAAGAACATTTCCAGATGGTTTGCAGGAGACATAGATGAGGTGGTGGATCTCCTTACACTGTCTTAAGGCATTCACTACCTTCTTGTCTGAAACAAAGATCATATATCATAGAGTCAGTCACCATCACATGAGACATATTCCTACCAGATGACATCACAGCCCTGATACCAAGGACACCAGGTGTTCACAGTGTCGGTATCCACCCAGGGACACCACTCATGAAGCAATCTTTACTTCTGAATGGTCAATGAGAGGTTTCAAATCTCAATAACCTGATTCGTGTCTCAAAAGAAAGACCTGTGTTAGAAATGATCTTCAGTAACCCATGCTTGCCGTAAAAGGCGACAAATGGGATCGGGTGGTCAGGCTCGCTGACTTGGTTGACACATGTCAACATATCCCAATTGTGTAGATCGAAGCTCATGTTGTTGATCACTGGATTGTTTGGTCCAGACTCAATTATTTACAGATCGCTGCCATATAGCTGGAATATTTCTGAGTGGAGCGTAAACATAAACTCACTCAATCACTCATTCAAAAAAGAACATAAACAGGCAGTTCTGAATGGAGATTAATAAAGGTTGCACTTTGTTCTTTATGCTACCTGTTGCCTCTCATATATTCAACTCACTGATGCCATTTCTGCCCGGGTTGATAACAGCCATGGTTGATCCCGACTTCTTCCACTGTGGCAGTTCATCCCGGAGGAAGCGATGGGCCTTGCTGCACACAAACTCAGCATTCGTCACCCCTACAACCAAAGCAGCCATCTAGTAACACCCTTCAATACCTGATCAAGACAGGTCTATGCTGCTCATTGTAGGATGACTTACTGTGTAATAGTTTGCTACCAAATAAATTGGTTCACAAAATTGTTCAAAGGAAAATATAAGAAATACCCTTATTATCCACAAGAAATTCCAAATGGATTCCCCATAATCAGAATAAAGCAAAAACTGTGAGCAATTCTCACTAATACCCCCGGACGTAACTCCCCACTTCAGCTGAACAATTAATAGTGATTATTCTTGACAAAAATACAAGATCTATATCACACCTTGCACTGCACCCTTCCAATAAACAAAGAAGTCATTACCCAAAATTGGTTGAACAAATTTGATGTGGGACTTTCTCCCTTGTTCAAGAAAAATAATTTGTGATCATTCTTGATAAATTAAAAAATAGTTTTCAGATTATTAGTTGAACACGGTAAGATTTGTATATTGCTGTAATTTTCATAAAGAGTTAAATATCATAATCACTATCATTATCACTGCACCTCTCCTGTAGACAAAGGAGCTGGTCCCAAATATGGAAACAATCTAACCAATAGTTTTTGAGTTATTGGTTCAACAAACTCAGAGTTCCATGGTATTACTAAATACCCCTGGCATACAACAGTCAGGGGTATTAATATTGTCAGTAAAATAGAGTGCATTTAAATTTCTTTCTCAGTTCCCAAGGATGTATACATGCATCCGCTTTGGGCATCAAATACTAAGCTACTTATGGAAAGTGAGTAAAAATGGTTTTATGCAGCCTAATATCCTAGGATGGCCAATTCAGGGACACCACAGATGGGCACAAAACCTACACATAGAGCAGCATAAGCAAACACCCTAACCACTAGGCTATGAGTTATCTCTACTGCAACTGTACTACAAATGGTGTTGCTGTTCCTTTTTCTGCTGCTGCTGCTGCCCTTTCAACTTCCAACCATTTCCCACCAACAAAAAAACAAAGCATTTACACAAATAGGTCATGTTCAAGGTACTTGTACCATTGTTTTCGGCATTAAACAAAGCATCTTCAGTTGCTTGTTTCACAATCTCAATGCCAATAATATCATCTACAAGGTCTGCCATGAGGATACCAATAGTTCCTGCAACACACAAAATCAACGTGAGCAGTGTAACCCTGTGCAACTATCTTATTACAATACGAAGGACGAACAACGAGTGAATGGAGTGAGTATATAGTTTTACGCCGCTGTTAGCAATATTCCAGCAATATCACGCCAGGGGACATTAGAAATGGGCTTCATACATTGCACCCATCTGGGGAATCGAACCTGGGTCTTTGGTGTGACAAGCCAACGCTTGAACCACCGACCCACAAACTTGGAGAAACTCACAAGCAGTGTTGTGGACTTTGAAACATAATCAGAATGTTAGCTGGACTATGTCCATAACCACTGCTTCCTGTCACACACAAGAGACACAACATTGCACATCTATTTGTGTCATATAAGACAACAGGCCCTAAAAATATGAACACTAAGACATAAACATTTAACAACACTACAAGATGGTCCAAAGTAATTCCATTTCTATGAGTGAGTGAATGAGTAGGGTTTTATACCGCTGTTAGCAAAATTCCAAAAATATTACAGCAGGGTACACCAGAAATAGAATTCATACATTGATCCCATGAGGGGAATCAAACCAGGGTCCTCTGCATGACGAGCCAACGCTTTAACCACTAAGCTACCCACCATCCTACATTCCTTTAGAATTGAAGTAGGAATTCCAGATTAGAATCTGTCCCTTTTATCAGCAGGCTGTGAGAGGCAACTTAAAATGGATCGCGTGGGCAGGCTCAGTGACTGAGTTAATGACACATCTTTATACCCACATGATTGCAGGCCTACCAAAGAAAACTTTCCCACTGTGCAGAAAAAAGCAGAAAAGCCCATATTAATCGTGGAAATAGCAACATAAACATAATACCTCGCTACTGAAACAGTAAAAACAGCAACGAAAAACTATGAAACTGCAACATTTTTATATCAGCAAACTTTGACCTCTACTGCACATGCGCATTACGATCCGTGCTTCTTTCCAATTTCAGAGCAACAGTGAATCGCCTTGCATAGAAAAAGTATTAAATATGTTGAAATAATTGCTGTCAGTCATTTCATACGAATGGAAAGTAAACTAAACAAGTGTGCACCCAAGTATCATGATGATAAATGCCAAATAACACAACAGAAATACTTGAAAAGGGAATGTAACGTTTGTCCAAGCTGGAAAATGTCAACATGCGATCGAGTCTTCCTCTTCCATGCGCGCATGCGGCGCAAAATCGAAGTTGCAGGCTCTTCGTTTTTTTATGCAGTTTTAGCGATTTAAAAGTTGCCATGTTTACTGTTTCAGTAGCGAGGTATTATGTATATGTTGCTGTTTCCACGATTAATGTGGGCTTTTCTGCGTTTTTCTCCACAGTGGGAAAGTTTTCTTTGGTAGGCCTGGATTTGTCTGACTCAATGATTATCAGTTAGCCATCACACAGCTGGAATGTGGTTAAAGGCACTATATCACACCACACTGCTCTAAAAATATATAAGGCATGTCTCTCAATAATATGAACTATCAGCCCTCAGGGAAACTGCCATATAACTTATTCCCAAAACAATTGGGTATTTAGATTACAAAAATAAATTAAAAAGTGTCAATGAATTTATGCAACGGTGCATTAAATTGCCTCTCGCGCCCTCTACCGGCCGAACATTATTTCAAGCAAACATTATTTCAAGTTATGTCTCCTTGGAGCTCTCTTTATGAATATCCTACGCACAAATTGTGACTGAAACCAGTTCGGCAAACTCCGACAACACCGCGTGCGACAGTTTTTTATGTACAGAGCAACTGTTTACATTCCATATATGGCATATGTTCTCTGTTTGAAAGGCAAGTCGAAGGGACAATAAGTCTAAAGTGAGAGCATATGCCCCAAAATATATGATATACCAGTAGGCCAAAGTATTGTCAAAATATGTGACGTTGTGCCTTTAAAGAACAAACTATCTTATTGAAGTGATGATACCTGTCCCGCAGCACACATCAATGACTGTGGCAGCACCCGACTGCTTCACGTAGTCCCTGATGGTGGAGTACAGCACCTCCGCAGCTGGAGTGTTTGTCTGGAAGAATGAGTCAGGTGAGATCCGGAACTTGTGAGCCAGAACCTCCTCGTAGATGTGCCGCGACCCCATCACATGATGTGCTGTGCTGTAGCTCCAGTAACTATGGAAACTGAAGCAGAAGAACCATTGTATTCTCTGCTCTATTATCAATAAGTAACCGAGTCACATTTGCCACCATTGTATTTTGGGGGTCGAGTTTGAGAGATGCAAAACACAAACTGTTTCTCAATGAAATTACACTTTTTGTGGCATTTCATCTCAATACAACTGCTTTAATGCCTTTAAAAAAATCTTTTCCAACAAATATAATTTTCATCACTGTTTTCTGATTTCTCCTAAACTGTTACTCGTACAAGACATATTACACTCTGGAGGAGTATTTGATATTGAGTTCATGTGCGAGACAATTTAAATATTTTACCTCAATGTCATACATTTCTCATCACCCTGGATGAATTTACCCCTGTCAGTCAGAATGTATTTAGCATCAGGTTTAAATCAAAATTCATGTGCCCTTTCAAAAGCATTTGCTGAAATATACTGATATTCAAAAGAAAGTGTACCAAGTGACTGATTAGAGAGTTCACTTGGTCTGGAACTAATAATATGAGATAATTATGTGCTCGGTCAGTTATAAGAGAGAGGGTGAAAGTTATTTCCCTTCCAAAACCTTACCAATATTATTTTGTATATTTATCACTCTGATTAACTATAATCTAGGAGGTGAGGTGAAATTGGGTTTAGCGTTGTGCTTGAGAATATTTCGCTCATATGACAACGTGCATGCATGTGTGTGTGTATGTGCGGCTGCTTGCACTAGCCCAGACTTAAGCTGGTTTTAAAGTGCTAGCCCACTGAGATACCATGCCACAGTGAAGCATGAATACCCCACTCAGACACATTATACTGACTCCGAGCCAACTAGTCCTTGTTGTACCCATTAATGCCGAGCGCCAGACAGGGACCAACAAGTACGATATTTGATGTCTTTTGGTATGACGCGGTCGGGGATCGAACCCACGACCTTCCGCTCTCCGGGCGGACACTCTAACCACTACACCACGGAGGCGATCTATAATCTAGGAAGGGAATAGATCAAACAGTATCACAAAATTTGTAACTGAAAGATGTGATGGATAAAAAAATACCTTGGTCGGAAGTAGAGTGATGTCACCCCTAGGTGGCTACCTGGACCTTGTTGGAAGAATTGGCAGAGTTCCTCTCTTGCCTCTTGATAGTCATCCTGAAACAAAACCACAAGTATTACGTCAACCCGAATAGTATTTCACTTACACCTGCATAACAAGCAGCAACAATTTCAAAAATGTATTTGACTTGGAGCCCTAAAAGATTCCACTGGTTTGTTCGCCATACCACTGACTTCTGTCTTGCCCTGAACATGACAGTCACCATGGTGTCCAGCTGCTGGCTTGACCGGATGACCAGACTGTCCCAGTACCCCATCGTGCTTGACCTCCCATACTTCACATAGGATGACTGGTCAAGGAAGTCCTGGTATGCCTGGGACACAAAACAATGAACTTTAATGCCACCCTCATTGGTTGTTGTCTTGGACCTGAGCCGAGCATGTTCAAGGTGCAATAAAGCCAATACATGATAAAATCATTAGTTACTGATACAGATGTAGAAAACAATGCATAGATGTAAAATGTAAATTTATAAATCAAGAAATGACTAATGAGTATGCTTTTATTTCTTATGAAAGAAAACTCATTCATGAAATGAAATGACCAGTATGCCTCCTGTTGTATGTTGGCTTTGTCGAGGATGCTGTGTATAGTCTGTTCAAGTTCTGAGGCAGTGGGGAAGTCTAGTGGTTAAAGCATTCACTCATCTCACTGAAGACCCAGGTTCAATTCCCCACATGAGTAAAATGTGAGTAACCAATTTCTGGTGTCCCCTGACACGATATTGTAGGAAAGTACCATAAAATCATACTCCCTCACTCGTTATTTAAGTTCCTGACAAAATCTATTCATGTTACTGACAAAATTTATCCATGCTGATAACAAAATCTATTCATGTTCCTGACAGAATCTGTTCCTGACAAAATCTATTCATGTTCCTGACAGAATCTGTTCCTGTTCCTGACAAAATCTGTTCCTGTTCCTGACAAAATCTATTCATGTTCCTGACAAATTCTATTCATGTTCCTGACAGAATCTGTTCCTGACAAAATCTATTCATGTTCCTGACAGAATCTGTTCCTGACAAAATCTATTCATGTTCCTGACAGAATCTGTTCCTGTTCCTGACAAAATCTGTTCCTGTTCCTGACAAAATCTATTCATGTTCCTGACAAATTCTATTCATGTTCCTGACAGAATCTGTTCCTGTTCCTGACAAAATCTATTCATGTTCCTGACAGAATCTGTTCCTGTTCCTGACAAAATCTATTCATGTCCCTGACAATATCTACTCATGTTCCTGACAGAATCTGTTCCTGACAAAATTTATTCATGTTCCTGACTAATCTGTTCCTCTTCCTGACAAAATCTATTCATTTTCTTGACAGTGTCTGTTCCTGACAAAATCTATTCATGTTCCTGACAGAATCTGTTCCTGACAAATCTATTCATGTTCCTGACAAAATCTGTTCCTGACAAAATCTACTCATGCTCCTGACAGAATCTGTATTCATTTCATACATCTGCCATATCACCAGGTCCATATACGGTGTCACTGTACTGCAATATACACCATAATTCTTCACACTCACACTGATGATATCAACATGTTTTTTCTTCATGATGACGAGATGCTTGGGACTTACACACACCACTTTCCCACCTGGAACACACCATGCAACACATTACTGAAAGCAAAGTACAGTAGAACACGGATATAGCGAACACGGATATAGCGTACAAACGGATATAGCGAACAAATTTTAAAGTCCCATCAACAGTCCTTTATAATATCATTAAAATTATACGCGAATAACGAACTCGTGAGTAGCGAATTAACGGCTATAGCGAACTGATTTACTACCCCCAAGACCCAATTAACGACGTGATTAGCGAACTCACTCAGTGTCAGCTCAGCCACTTAGCGGTATACATCAACCTTGTTGGCGGAGAATTAACATATTGTTGAGATTGTTGTGATTGTTAAACATTTTCTAGCTAATGTCTGTGAATAATAAATTCAGAATTTTAATGTTATGTCAATGTACATGTACAAGAATAAAGATTTGTAGCCTCAGCATATACGTGTCTCTACATCTCTACAATCCAAGATGGCGGTCAAATGTGAATAACGAACACCGGATATAGCGAACTAAATTTCTTGGTCCCTTGGAGTTCGTTATATCCGTGTTCTACTGTAATCATTATTTAACAAATTACAGAAAGAGGCATCTAATTTCAGTCTGTTTCAACACAAAAAATATATACAATGTATGCATTGGCGGGGTCCAGGGGCTTCGAACCCCACCTTTTGAAAATGACTTAAGATCACATTGAAGAGTTTTTTTGTGTTGGCAGAGCCAATGGGGGGGGTTCAGGGGGTTCCTGGATCCGCCCATGATGTATGGCTACTTCACAATACTTAACTGTAATACTCGTACATGTATTATGGAGTTCTTTATGTTTAAAAAACACTCCTTGTTTCACATTATAACACTGCCATCTGAAAACATATGATGTCCTAAAACATACAATACACATGTTGGGTGTATCTAGAATTACATTTCCAACTACAACTTAAATTTATAAATCTCATCAAGATCTGCATGAACCATTGTTTTCACCATCCATATAAGGTTCCAATCTCACCTGGTCCTAAATTACCATCCTATGAAACATTCAAAATTTGTATCTTAATCTTTTCACCTGGTTGAATGTATATTATCTCACCTTTAAAGAAAACAACAAATTTTACATTGCTACACACAAAAATGCACTATATATCGCTGAAAAGGATTTTCGAAGAATTGACACTTGGGAGCTTGAATCTCATGTAATAGGATAAGAAAAGATAATGGGTGCCCAGTGGGATAAGTCATGTGACTCTTAACCTTCTAGCGCCTCACAGGCAGCTTGGGTTATCTGGGGTAATAATAATTAGATTGTGCATGCGTTTTGAGCAACCGCAACAGGTGGAAAATCGTGCATAACAAATGCACTTATTATAATAATTCTCATTCATCATAATGTAATTCAAGAGTTCTGAGTTAGTGACACTTTAGATGATAAAGTCGCTTTTGAAATAAGACAGGGTATAAAGAAGGTACAGGGTATAAAGATGGAGACACTATACCCTTGCCAACCGAGGATGGTACACTCACTGCGTCCCTTGCCAACGTAAAGGCCCACAACTCTGTTGTTACCAGTCACATCAGGGCCAATACTCATCTCATCCTTGTTACGGTAGCCATATATTTCTGGCTGAAATATAGATCACACTAATTATATATTAACATAAGTGTATCTAAACACAGAATACATACTGTACAATAAAGAAACACATTTGTTGCGGGGACCACATGCTGACCTACCCCTAATGTCAGTAGGCATCCTAACCCTTACGTCAGAAGAAAAATAGTGGCCCCTCCCTTGAGTTGATAGAACAGTGGGTGACCTATCCCTATTTAAATACCCCCTATGTCAGTAGAGTAGTGGGTCAAATACCCCTAGTGTCAGTAGCTTAGTGGGTGAAACATAAATTGTCAGTAGAGTAGTGGGTCAAATACCCCTAGTGTCAGTAGAGTAGTGTCCCTAGTGTCAGAGTAGTGGGTCAAATAAATTGTCTAGTGTCAGTAGCTTAGTGGGTGAAACATAAATAGTAAGTTGGGTCAAATACCCTGTGTCAGTAGAGTAGTGGGTCAAATACCCCTAGTGTCAGTAGCTTAGTGGGTGAAACATAAATTGTCAGTAGAGTAGTGGGTCAAATACCCTGTGTCAGTAGAGTAGTGGGTCAAATACCCCTAGTGTCAGTAGCTTAGTGGGTGAAACATAAATTGTCAGTAGAGTAGTGGGTCAAATACCCTGTGTCAGTAGAGTAGTGGGTCAAATACCCTAGTGTCAGTAGCTTAGTGGGTGAAACATAAATTGTCAGTAGAGTAGTGGGTCAAATACCCTAGTGTCAGTAGAGTAGTGGGTCAAATACCCTAGTGTCCAGTAGAGTAGTGGGTCAAATACCCTAGTGTCAGTAGCAGTGGGTGAAACATAAATTGTCAGTAGAGTAGTGGGTCAAATACCCCTGTGTCAGTAGAGTAGTGGGTCAAATACCCCTAGTGTCAGTAGCTTAGTGGGTCAAATACCCCTAGTGTCAGTAGAGTAGTGGGTCAAATACCCCTAGTGTCAGTAGCTTAGTGGGTGAAACATAAATTGTCAGTAGAGTAGTGGGTCAAATACCCCTAGTGTCAGTAGAGTAGTGGGTCAAATACCCCTAGTGTCAGTAGCTTAGTGGGTGAAACATAAATTGTCAGTAGAGTAGTGGGTCAAATACCCCTGTGTCAGTAGAGTAGTGGGTCAAATACCCCTAGTGTCAGTAGCTTAGTGGGTGAAACATAAATTGTCAGTAGAGTAGTGGGTCAAATACCCCTGTGTCAGTAGAGTAGTGGGTCAAATACCCCTAGTGTCAGTAGCTTAGTGGGTGAAACATAAATTGTCAGTAGAGTAGTGGGTCAAATACCCCTAGTGTCAGTAGCTTAGTGGGTGAAACATAAATTGTCAGTAGAGTAGTGGGTCAAATACCCTAGTGTCAGTAGAGTAGTGGGTCAAATACCCCTAGTGTCAGTAGCTTAGTGGGTGAAACATAAATTGTCAGTAGAGTAGTGGGTCAAATACCCCTAGTGTCAGTAGAGTAGTGGGTCAAATACCCCTAGTGTCAGTAGCTTAGTGGGTAAAAATAAATTGTCAGTAGAGTAGTGGGTCAAATACCCTAGTGTCAGTAGAGTAGTGGGTCAAATACCCCTGTGTCAGTAGAGTAGTGGGTCAAATACCCCTAGTGTCAGTAGCTTAGTGGGTGAAACATAAATTGTCAGTAGAGTAGTGGGTCAAATACCCTAGTGTCAGTAGAGTAGTGGGTGAAACATAAATTGTCAGTAGAGTAGTGGGTCAAATACCCCTAGTGTCAGTAGAGTAGTGGGTGAAACATAAATTGTCAGTAGAGTAGTGGGTCAAATACCCCTGTGTCAGTAGAGTAGTGGGTGAAACATAAATTGTCAGTAGAGTAGTGGGTCAAATACCCCTATGTCAGTAGAGTAGTGGGTCAAATACCCCTAGTGTCAGTAGCTTAGTGGGTGAAACATAAATTGTCAGTAGAGTAGTGGGTCAAATACCCCTGTGTCAGTAGAGTAGTGGGTCAAATACCCCTAGTGTCAGTAGCTTAGTGGGTGAAACATAAATTGTCAGTAGAGTAGTGGGTCAAATACCCCTAGTGTCAGTAGAGTAGTGGGTGAAACATAAATTGTCAGTAGAGTAGTGGGTCAAATACCCCTAGTGTCAGTAGAGTAGTGGGTGAAACATAAATTGTCAGTAGAGTAGTGGGTCAAATACCCCTGTGTCAGTAGAGTAGTGGGTCAAATACCCCTAGTGTCAGTAGAGTAGTGGGTGAAACATAAATTGTCAGTAGAGTAGTGGGTCAAATACCCCTAGTGTCAGTAGAGTAGTGGGTGAAACATAAATTGTCAGTAGAGTAGTGGGTCAAATACCCCTAGTGTCAGTAGCTTAGTGGGTGAAACATAAATTGTCAGTAGAGTAGTGGGTCAAATACCCCTGTGTCAGTAGAGTAGTGGGTCAAATACCCCTGTGTCAGTAGAGTAGTGGGTCAAATACCCCTAGTGTCAGTAGAGTAGTGGGTGAAACATCAATTGTGTCAGTAGAATAGTGGGTGAAATATCCCAAGAGTCAGTAGAACAGTGGGTCAAACATCCCTTGTGTCAGTAGAATACTGGGTGAAATATCCCTACTGTCAGTAGAATAGTTGGTTAAATATCCCTTGTGTCAGTAGAACAGTGGGTGAAATATCCCTACTGTCAGTAGAATAGTGGGTGAAATATCCCTACTGTCAGTAGAATAGTAGGTGAAATATCCCTAGTGTCAGTTGAATAAGATGCTGAAATACCCCTAGTGTCAGGGGAATAGAGGGAGCTTACCGCTGGTTTAACTCCAACAAGCGAACAGAACTGCCCATCATTTTCTTCATCCAGTTTTTTAACTGCAGGGGAGTACTGTGCTTTCCGAGTGTGACGAACAATATTGATAACTTTCTGGAGAGATGTTTTCAAAATGGTTTCCTTTATCTGAAATATAAAATGCTACAATCATGATATTCAATAACAGATTGTTTGTTATTTTATCACAAGCCAAGTCATAAACATCTGACTGCACAACAACAACCTGTTAATAATTGAGTCCCGTTCACATCATAAGCAACATGAGCCCTGTAACATACGTCATATTTGGGATTACACTTTCTTAGTAAAGTTCAGATTCTTGTACTTTTGTTGGGTAGAGTTCCGTCCGGGATTCGAACCCACACCCTCAGAGTCAGGCACCTAATCGCCAGCACACAAAGTCAGCTGCGGCTTCCGCGATTAGGTGCATGACTCTGAGGGTGTTGGTTCGAATCCCTGACGGGACTCTACCCAACAAAAGTACTAGAATCTGTACTTTACTAAGAAAGTGTAATCCCAAATATGACATATGTTACATTTGACCACTTTCTAAATGGCATTGTGTATTTTCATAACACTAGCCCTTAATCTTCAGGGTATGACAAACAATCATTTGAGTGAGTGAGGGATGAAGGGACATTTAACACTACTGTTAATGGCATTCCAGACACGTAAAAGTACATTAGGGATGAAATGGTACGCTCTTTCCATGGTACAGTACGTACAGCGGTACAAGGCCTTCGGTTGTACCGAGATACGATCATAATGCAGAAAATTAACAACAAGAGCCAAACCTAGATATATAGATTTTGATAAAATGGATTGATTTCCAAACATTTTAGAGTGAGTGAGTGAGTATGGTTTTACGCCGCTTTTAGCAATATTCCAGCAATATCACGGCGGGGACACCAGAAAGGGGCTTCACACATTGTACCCATGTGGGGAATCAAACCCAGATCTTCGACATGACGAGCCAACGCTTTAACCACTAGGCTACCCGTCCGCCCAGAAAGTTTAGAAAAGATTTAAAATGGTTCAAAAAGGTTAATAACATGACGGTGCGAAAACTGAAAATATCGTTTTTTTGGATTGCATTACAGCATATCGAACCAAAGTCAAAATACAGCGGTTCAACTAATACTGCGGTATACTGTTTCACCCTGCGAGGAGATCAGTTTAATGTGGGATGAAAGACCGAAGATACGCAGGTCTCGGGAACCCAGAAGCATGGACAGGGTGCTGACCAACCTACAAACCATAATTGGGTTAAACTGATAATTGAACCTACAATCAAAGGTTTCTGACATTTCCAAAGGACCAAAGTCTGCACCGCTTATTCCAAATAATAAAAAATGTTGTGGTTCCGATTACACGTCTTTAAAATTTAGGGTAGGTAGGTAGGATTTTTATTTTATTTTATGCATTTTTTTTTAGAAGTAAATTGTTTATTCAATCAAGCTTGAGGCCATAATGTCGACTTTCTCTATCAGAATGACCAATGTCTGTCGGTCCCGGGAAAAAACAATGGTATCTGAAAGCTAATTGTATTCATACCGCTTAAAAGAATAGGGCCGGCACCAGAATTCCAGGGTCAGTCGGGTAATCGGAACCACAACATTTATTTTTTCCAGGCTTATTGCGGCACAGTAGACAACTGGTCAAGCCGTGCCTCTGAATCTGCTTTTGAAGAAGACTGTAAAACATCACTTAAAGAACAAAAGTTAGAAAACATAACCTTGAGTTGAGCGTCATAAGGTTTCCTGTAGAATGGTGTAACACAATACGCCAACCTGAAGAAAAACAAAAATTATCTGGTTAAGCTGTTAATATTACATATTTGTATATCTTACATAGACTAAATGATACTTCCTACCGCTTGAAACATACATGTATATGGGCTACAAACTACAAACATTTGTGACCCTTATAATAGTATCCATCTCTCATTATATCATGGTCAGCTATATTACCATCAACTGACAACAGAAATGTTGGCAAATTGCTAGTTCATGTCAGATCACTCATTTTACAATTATTTACCTTTTTGAGGAAGCTTATGAAAAATGATGTCGGTTGTCAATGAGTAAGTGAGTGAGTGAGTGAGTATGATTTTACGCCACTTTTAGCAATATTCCAGCAATATCAAGGCTGGGGACACCAGAAATGGGCTTCACATTGTACCCATGTGGGGAATTAAACCTGGGTCTTCGGCATGACGAGCGAACACTTTAACCACTAAGCTACCCCATCACCCCAAGATGTCAAATGAACACACGCATGTAAGCAGAATTTACAGCATGCAACTGGAACACATTGAAACATTAACTTAAATACTGAGTGAGTGAGGTTAGTTTTACACCGCTTTTAGCAATATTACAACAATATCACAGCAGGGGACACCAGAAGTGGGCTTCACACATTGTACCGATATGAGGAATTGTACCTGGGTCTTCGGCATGACAAGCAAATGCTAAACCCCTAAGCTACCCCGCCACCCCAAGATGTCAAATGAACACACGCGCATGTACCGGGTAAGCAGAATTTACATCATGCAACTGAAACACATTGAAACATTAACTTAAATATTGAGTGAGTGAGGTTAGTTTTACACCACTTTTAGCAATATTACAGCAATATCACGGCTGGGGACACCAGAAATGGGCTTCACATTGTACCCATGTGGGGAATCGAACCCAGGTCTTTGGCATGACGAGCGTTTTAACACTTTAACCACTAAGCTACCCCTACTTAATGATAAAAGTCTATTGAGGACAATACAGTAAACTATGGTTATCCTCAAAGTGACCAGTAACTGTTAGTTCATTGTATCTGTAGTTTGTTACAAGCATTTCAACTGAACCAAACAGCAAGTGGCTGGGTCAGAGAAAATCAGCTCCTTATATAAGCATGCTCATTATAAACTGAATTTACTGTAAGGCCTAAAAACAAAAGGTGTGGTTCCGATTACTCGATCAACCCTTGAATTCTGGTGCCGACCCTATTTGTGCGGAATGAACAAAATACATGTTTGCTTTCAGATACCATTGCATTTTTCCTGGCACCAACAGATATCGGTCATTCTGAAAGAGAAAGTCGATATGATGGCTGCAAGCTTGATTGAATAAACAATTACACATAATAAATGTGTTATTAGTTTGTACTTCACTTCTTAAAAAAAATGTGTAAAAAAAAAAATTCCGACCTACCTTCCCTAAATTTTAAAGAGGTGTAATCGGAACCTCAACATTTTTTTTATTTGGCCTAATTACAACGTACCGCTCATACTGATTGTCTTCTGTGGTTGTGTTCACAAGGGCTTTGCGGTTACTATAACCATGTCTGAAACTAGAAGAAAGACAGCTGGTCACATTTTGCATTGCATGAACATATGTTATCCAAATCTAATAAAAAACATTAATTTAGAGTAATATTCCTTCTTCTACAGACTTTCCTGCAATATTTTAACATCAAACAAAGTAAGTTACAATGGTTTTACTCCACTTAAAGCACTATATACCTGAAATACTATGTGTTATTAGAACATATTGTTCTGCCATATAGCTGGAATATTGCTGAGTGCGGCTTTAAACAACAAACAAATACAACATTCCTATATGTTCCTACATATGTTCCAAAATATGTATACATTCAAATACTTTTTAGATTTATAATTTAGAGAATCTTTTGAGGCTACCTTACACAAAATTAAATAATTTTTTAAACGATTAATACATGAGTAATGTGCATGTAAAATCAAAGATGGCTGCCAAAGCTGCCATATTGAACTCATAAGAGCCAAGTCTTTCAGAAAATGTGCCGTACTACTGGCGCAGAAAGTGATGACAAGAATTCCATCCTACAACAATAACCATATACTCGAACAACACCCCCAAATTGACCAATTTGACACTACGACCAACTGTCCTAACTAAGAACCAAAGTCACGGCCGACGATCTAAATATCAGCTGATTATTAGCTCTACGAATGTTGACTGTTCACTTGAAGTGTGTAGCAAAACAGAATGTACGCACCGATGCGTGTGCCTGATCTTCGTCAGTACACACCAAGTCAACAACTGCTTCTTTCCGACATTCATTACAGCTAATTCTTAATACTGACTGAAAACGGTTTGAACAACGTGTTTGTGGAGGCTGCCATATTCCAAGGGAGGTAACCATATCGGAATGAAACACGCGTAAAATCAGGGATAATCTACGTCTTCTATTCTCCCTGGTAAAATCAAAATACCGTGGCAAATTCGAATCTCATTGATATTTTATTTAAGGTATGTAATTATTCGTAATAAAAAACCAGTTCCAAAATCGTATATAACGTGTAAAACATTTGGCAGATAGAACCTTGTAAGAGGGACTTTATTGTTTTAGTGTTTTCAATTCTCTATATTTCGGTACAGTGGTGCAGTACATTAAACCTGTTCTATTAAATTAAACTAAGTGTTTTATATTATCTAAATCTCATCCATTATCTATTGACATAAATGTGCTAAACCATGCTTATAAATTGTAAGCTATTGTAATTACTAACAAACGGCTTTTCTATATATACTCATGCCAATAATGGTTGTCACCCCTTCAATTTTTTTTATTGGAGAGGGTGGGGGATGGGGAGGGGTGTGACAACCATTATTGGCATGAGTATATTCACTCTTGTGTGCATGAGATAAGAGTCTGAATCTGTTGCAGAATAGTTTTATTTAAATTCTGTTGTGGTTAGGTATGTGTATGCAACATACAGCATTAACATTTCAAGTAGTATGTAAATTGTATAAGTATGTTACTCTTTGTTATGAGAGTATATATATATTATTCAGACATATTCTGGATACATACGTTGCTGTCCTGGTCGACACCCCAGTCTCATCCACAGAGTACGCTCATTGCTTAATTGTATAGTGCATTTCAGATTTGTATAATTATCAAATGTGTCACACTGTCTTGTACAATTAACTATATCGATTACTTAAAAAGTGTCAAATAGATCAGTTAACCTCCTATCCATTTACTTTGTGAGTACAATTTGTAAACAGTTCATAATCTTATGTGTATCATGCTATACATGTATACTTGGCAAAATTGATTGGAACCTTACTGTGTATTGCATGTTAGTCTGTTTATTATACTGTATTACATGTACTTTTAATGTATCATTATTTCTATAAATGTTTCAGGATGAATTATCTACTAATAAATGGTCCTTCGGGCAATAGCTCACACGGGTACAAAAATGTGCAAATGGGTGACACGAAATCTACCATTCCATCTGTAGGTGATTGAGGTGAGGTGAAATTGGGTTTAACGTCGTGCTTGAGACTATTTCGCTCATATGACGACGTGCATGCGTGTGTATACATGTGTATATGTGCGGCTGCTTGTACTAGCCCAGACGTAAGCTGATTTTAAAGTGCTAGCCCATTGAGATACCATGCCGCAGTGAAGCATGAATACCCCACTCAGACACATTATACTGACTCCGAGCCGACCAGTCCTTGTTGTACCCATTAATGCCGAGCGCCAGACAGGGACCAACAAGTACCATATTTTAACGTCTTTTGGTATGACGCGGTCGGGGATCGAACCCGCGACCTTCCGCTCTCGATCTGGGCGGACGCTCTAACCACTACACCACGGAGGCGGTCCTGTGAGTGAGTGACTGACTGAGAGTGAGCGAGAAAGTGACTGAGAGACTGAGCGAGTGAGTGAGTGAGAGTTGTATGTCGCACCAGCATCTGTTCGCCTCGTTGTCCATCGCTATAGCGTGAGAAAACAATAAAAGTCGGGAAATTAGTTCAAAGCTGAGATTAATCAACGCTCCGCCCGTGTGACATAAATAATAAAGTCACTGTAGATATCACACACCTATACTTGGTGCTATCAGCACAATAAATTATGTGTTCATGACCGTTCTGTGGTTTCCATTCCGAGCCAAATTGTTTTCAATTTATCCGTGTAGGTAGAAGTGGTGATTGTTCCATAAATTCGTGTTACCGAACTTGGCTGAAGCAAAGGCTGCAGTGGAAAAATCACGGATTTTTTCATCTCCATAGCCAAAAAAAACACGATTTGTTTTACTTAATTGGATAGATACCAAAGAAAACCGTTATCGTTTTCACTTAAATCTGCTAGGGGCCAAAGAAAAAACAATATTTTGTGACTTAAATCTGCATTTAAATTGGAGGTTTTCTATTTGATTTCAGAATTGTGCGCGTCATCCTCTATTTCGATTTCTGCAAGGGTGGGTGGTGGGGGTATGCTATAATTTATGAGTTATTTATTTTTAAACGAGGTTTTTCATCTCTCGATGGAGTGCTTCAGAAAAATACTTCCAAGTTCGTCTCTAGAAAACATGTGTACTCGCAGTTTCTCTTTTACGCTGCTTTAGCATTATTTCATTATATCATGGCTGGGGACTAAGGACATAGTTTTCACACATTGTACCTATGTGGGCAGGGACGTAGCTACCATAATAATACAAAAAAAGGCCCGGGCTTAAACATGATTGCTGCTGCATCTCAGAGGGTCTCAGCGTTGTTTATTTAAAACATCTCAGAGAGTCTCAGCGTTGTTTATTTAAAACATCTCAGAGTGTCTCAGCGTTGTTTATTTAAAACATTTCAGAGCGTCTCAGCGTTGTTTATTTAAAACATCTCAGAGCGTCTCAGCGTCGTTTATTTAAAACATCTCAGAGCGTCTCAGCGTTGTTTATTTAAAACATTTCAGAGTGTCTCAGCGTTGTTTATTTAAAACATCTCAGAGCGTCTCAGCGTTGTTTATTTAAAGTATCTCGAGCGGTGCTTCTTTTATGAGTATAGTCAACCATACAGCTTTTTATTTAATGAGTACAAGAGGTTTTAATAGAGTCACTTGAGACAACTACACTAGTCAGTAATCTAAACAAGATTCACATTTTGATAGGTGGGAATAGTCTCATGACTTTGATGAGTTTAGTTTTACGCCGCACTCAGCAATATTCCAGCTATATGGCGGCGGGGTGTAAATAATCGAGTCTGGACCAGACAATCCAGTGATCAGCAACATGAGTATCGATCTAAGCAATTGGGAACCGGTGACAGTATGATGACATGTGTCAACCAAGTCGGCGAGCCTGACCACCCAATCCCGTTAGTCGCCTCTTACGACAAGCATGTGTTTTGAAGATCAATTCTAACCCGGACCTTCACGGGTCTCATGATTCAGAATGCAAACACGAAAGGTACTGATAGGTATATTGAGAAATATAAATTACTCAGGGATTTAAGCTTAACATCCTTTTTCAGAATATTTGATGTTAAAATCAAACCGATTCTACTGTATGGTGATCATCATATCTTCACAAATCAGAGCGATTAAATATTGGATAAGGTTATTAAGTATGCCATCCTATACCGTTTACCGAGAAAATGCTATAATATGATGTAACTTTATGACAAAGAAGGGAAACAGAATTGGATAACAGATGTCAAACACCTACTTATTTCAATTGGATTTAGTCATTTTTGGTATGAACAAAAGGTTGAAAGTTCGTCATTGTTTCTAAATACATTCACGCAACTGAATGTATGATGATCACACTATATATTATCACTATTATTACTACATATTCGTACAAAATATAGATCTACTGAAAGGCAAAAGAAATGTCGTAATATTGGAAATGACATTTAAGTATCAATGGAACATTTGAACCTATTTTTTTTTAAATAATACGCCACTGAAATGCAGTACCGACTTTCATCAGAGAAGATAACCCCTCTCCATTGTCCCCCACGACAGTTTTGCCAGGACATCGACAAAACAGGTTCCTGGCTTGGAGACGTCGCCGAATGGTAGGTCACTGACTGGTCGCTGGTGGTTTCCTATGGTCACCAAAGCTGTTTCTCTGGCCCTTGCGAATAGGTCTTGTACGTGTTGATGGACGATATGACGGTCCTGGCGACGTGTTGTTACACGGGGTTGACCACTACGTGGACGGTCATCAGTGCTGCTGGTGGCGTGGTATCGCACCCTAAGACGTTCTATCGTTCGTACGCTGCAACTGAAGTCATTAGCAATGACTCGAGCATGTTGACCAGCGTGCAGACGTCCAATAGCTTGTTGTGGTTGATCTCTCGTTAACCTAGTCATAGCTGCTGTGTTCAGAAAACAAGTGAACGATTGCCATTCAAGCCGGCAATTTATGCCTGAATGCATTTATGATGCACGTGCATCTCGATTTCAATGTTGTGTTTGTGGGAACTTTTCCCTCTCCAAAAACCAAAAACATTTCTAACTTCAATCTCAAACAATACTTTATTGGGCAATGCAGGCTATACGACCACGATTCATGTTTCCTCAAACTTGACTTCTGGTGTATATTTAAAAAAATAGGTTCAAATACTCCATTGATACTCAAATGTCATTTCTAATATTACGACGTTTCTTTTGCCTTTCAGTATATATCTTAGTTTGTATGTTCTTATTTGAATTTGATCTATGGCCCTTTTGACATAAATCTATGGCCCTTTTGATTTTCTTTGGGCCCTTTTGGCTTTTCTTTGGCCCTTTTGACTTTTTCAATTTGGGCCCTTTTGTCCTTTGGCCCTTTTGACTACAAACCGATTGTTGCTAAAACGGCCGGGCATGCCCTCAATACTATCTAAATATGAATCTTTCTAACCTATCGGGATTACACGAAAAAAATGGCTTGCTACGCGCCTGGTGGGCAATCGAACCATTCCGCATGAAGAATGACCACTTTAAAAGGGGCACTGATCCAGAGCGATTGATGTTTCTCGCTAACAGTCTAATTAACAAACCAAGCTGCAAGCTTGTCATTACCTGCTCCCTCGACCGTGACGGACACGGGGACTGGGCTACTGTCCACCTTGGCAAAATTTCTTCAACCTAAACAGTTGGAAGGACATTAGGAAGGATGGATGCCCATCATATACCCGTATTTGAAAATATCCCCTGTAGTTCTTGTTTGATTGTAACAAAGTATCGCAGCATTGTAAGCTTTTAGGATTTTGTAATGCCTGGATGATATAGTGACTCATCCAATTTGATCCTAATTTTGTGCTTTTTATCTCGATATTTAATCATGTCATGTAAATATATGATGTCCATTAGGCTACCTATGATATTAAAAACACAAATTTGATTTATTTGAATCCGTAAACTATACAACCCCACTTTGCCATTGCTAGAAAAATATGAAAATATACTTAGCTAAATAGGTATATACAGTTTTTAACTTAGTACACCGCAAATGCTTACATGTATTTCTTATGCAGCAAAGAAGTTCCGTTCGTATCCTCAAAACAAGGCTATCACACATACAGCTAAAACTGTTATAAGTACTTAACGAGAGCAGAATGTTCGCATTCATAACATACATAAATAATTTTCAGCCCATTTTTCAAAGGATGTTTACAAGCTTTTGTCTCTTCAATTAATCGTGTCGTGATTTATCGTTCATACAAATATAACAGTACTGTGTTTAAAGGTTTCAGGAAATCGGACGGAAAGTGTCACTATCAGTTGTTTCAAAAATATGGGGTGAACAGAATGTGCCATTTGTACCTATTCGACTACAAGAATTCAACTACGAACAGGTACTGCCTTTATGTATCTATAGATCCTCATAATTTCCTAGTACTATTTAAGATTCGTTTTGGGCAATCAGTGGAAAGATTGCTGTTGACTTGAGCGATATTTCGTTCCGTTTGCAAGTTTGATTTTTTTAGAAAGACCGGAAGCGGTTTCACCCCTATTGCGCATGCGCATGTTTAAAAAGGCGGCTGGTTCAATTTTCGTGGATATTCCGTAAGGTTATTTCTTTTCAATATTTCAATATTTCATTACTCTGACTGTATTTGTTAAAGCCGTGGTTTAATTGCACCGCTCGCGCAAAGTGAGAATATTGCTAAATAAAATGACACCGATTTAATTCATACATGAATATTCTATCATCGATGTCATGATGATGTTTACAAACAAAACGTCCGCAATCTGAAAAGGGCACCCCAGGACAACCAGTAGAATGCAACTGTATTAGGCATACGAATTCATACACCACTAATGTGATAAGAAGTTTAAACCACATTTTTTCCCCTCGAAATATAAGTATTAATCGCCGTTAGTTTCAGTGAATTGGTTTGTCTTGAACAATCTGGACGTTTGAACACGTCATCGCAGATGAATTGTTATGCTTTGTAATTTACATTGAAACACACGGAACTGGATTAAATTTGAGGATAAGAATGTGTAGAATGAGAAAATATAAAATAAGGACACATGATGAGCATTTGTCTTAATGCTTTTTTGTATATAGAAGAAACCAATTTCATAAAATATCCATTTTGGATTTAAAATGATTATGTGTGTAAACAAGCTCAATCAACATGATCAAGTCCAATGCAATTGTCATGACATGCTCCACAACAGTTTGTTATTTCACCTGGTTATTGCATACACAGTAAACATAGACAACTGTTTATTTGGGTATGAGCCAGAGGGGACACTGTTGAGCTTTTTGATCATTTGATTGCTTTCATTTACTGTCATCACTTTTTACATTTTTATTCCAACATTTGTCAAGAATTGTTTTGAAGCTCTATAACAGTGATGTACATTTTTGGAGTGACACATTTTGTATCATGATTTGTATCTCACAGTTAAGCATATTCAATGAGTGAATAGATGTCTGAACAACTTTAATAATGTATATGGTTAGATGATTTAAAAAAAATTAAATCGCACTGACATTGGAAGCTCTTTATTGGTTTCATATAGGTACAGATTGGATGTAAACATGATGCGGAAGTCCAGTTTGGGGGGCCGACCATCTCTAGCAGGGCCATTGCGAGTGAGGACTGATGATAACGTGAAGCCGTCCAGCAGCAGACAGTCATCAGGATGTGGGCTATCATCTGGAAACAGACTGTCAATAGGAAGCAGACCATCACTGGGTGGAAGGCCATCAATAGGACGGGCTCAGAAGCCAGTGTCGCGATACAGTGCATATCCTACCACTGCAGGTCAAAAGAGAAGGTAAGCACTGTATTGAAATGTTTGCCAGAAATGTTCTTCACATATTGTACCCATGTGGGGAATTGAACCGATGTGATGAGCAAGCGCTTCAACAACTGGCCTACCCCACCGCCCCTGGTGGCCCCAGAGTTGGTATGGTTAAAGTAGCTGTAAACATGCTTACTATTATGTCTATCACGTTTATGTTCCATGTGTTGGGTCTGACAGCTACCAGTTGTCACTGTTTCCAACTCCAAAGGAATGATAAGTACCATTTGGGCTCAAACAGGGCTCCAGATAAGGGCCGTATCGGCGTATGTACGAGTACAAAATATGCACGATACAGTAGGAAATAATTTAGAAAACGTAGCACATACGCACTACAGCAATGCTGTATGGTCTTAGAATCATTTACAGACGTATTTATCTTAAAGAGTATTGTTTTATTGTTTATTGACCTGTTTACACAAGACTAGCAATGTTGTGGTGCATATATGAAACGAAACACAAGATTACTGATACGCCATTAAATTCCATTCAGTACTCAAAATGTACTCTTAAGTTTATCCAGTACTCCTATAATGAAAAAAAAGGAGTACTGATACGCCATTAAATTCCATTCAGTACTCAAAATGTACTCTTAAGTTTATCCAGTACTCCTATATTGAAAAAATAAGGAGTACATACTCCTGATGTTGAAAAATTATCTGGAGCCCTGCTCAAAGATGTGCATATTTCAAGGAATGGGGAAAACTTTTACAAGTCATTCTGAAAGTAATCAGATGGGTGTATCATGGTATATTTGTGTAGTTGTGTACAGAATGGTTGTATTAGCTCATCCATATTTTATTCAGACATTCAAGTGGCATCGGAATCCGAGGTCGCACTGATGTACCGAAAGATCCAAGACCAATATCTGACAAAAGTTTCCAGCACAAGATGATTAGGCAGCTCCTGGAGGTATTTATAGTATTATAAGTAGTGATGTAACAATTCATTGCAACTATCAATGCCTTACATTTGTCTTTTAGCCAAAATTGACTCTACGCCATGCATGGTACATTACTTGTACACTGAAAATTGTGAAATATTAATAATTATACGTTTGATACGCCAGCCTCAGCTAGTTTAAGCAAGCCTGTACACTAAGATTAGGACATAATTGTGTTGGATAATGAATAATATGAAATATGAATCCCTAATTTTGTCCATAACTTTGACAAAAAGAAAGAAGTGAAATGTTTGTGGCCTAAAGTCTTGAAAAAATGCTTTAAATATTGGTCTTTGTGATGATTGTGATTATTTTAATTTAATTATAAATTTTGATTTCAGTGGCTCACAGATAAGGGCTATTCACACCCTATCTCACAGAAGATCCTTGTATCACCACCAAGTAAAGAATTTTTTAGAATATTTGAGGTAAGAAAGTTTTAAAATGTTTAAACCTGCTTCTCTGTTCGAAGACAGCATTACTTAGATTGTAAATATATAACATTTTGTATTATCATGATTGTATTCAAGGAAAACTTTTCACCTGTGATTTAGCATTGCTCTTCATTTCTGACATATTATAATATCATTATCAGTCTATGACTTGAGTCACAAGTCCAAAGCCTGAATCCGGCAAAGAATGTTAGGCCAAGCAAGATCAGTTGATACTAGGCAATATAATAACACCATAGGACCATGTTCAGGTTAGAAGCCTTAAGTTTGTTTTGGTTGAGACTTCAATCTGATTAGTATGATGGTGAGGTTAACTGTAACCATGGGGCAGTGGGGTAGCCCAGTGGTTAAAGCGTTCACTAGCCATGCCAAAGACCTAGGTCTGATTCTCCATATGGGTACAATGTGTGAAGCCCATTTCTCGTGTCCCCCTGCCGTGATATTACTCACTCACAAACTATAAACATTCCTTTCTGTGTCTTGGTCACATGTTTTGTTTACCAAACAAATGTCTGTTCCAGTTCCTTAATGGTCACCTTGAACCCAAATACAAGATTGGTCCAAAGCCAGAGGAGGAAATCCCCAAGATTTTCAAAGTTTTGGGCTACCCGTTCTCCATCTCTAAGAGCTCCATGTTTGCCATTGGCAGCCCCCACACCTGGCCCTACCTCCTGGCAGCCCTCATCTGGCTGGTGGAACTCATCAAGGTATACCTTGCTGTTGCCGTGGCCACCAAGCGGCATAAAGCTATACTCGCTAGCATGCTCTTACATTCACTCACTCGCTCTCACATTCACTCGCTCCCTCTCACATTCACTCGCTCCCTCTCAAATTCCCTTGCTCCCGCTCACATTCCCTTGCTCCCGCTCACATTCACTTGCTCCTCTCACATTCACTCGCTCACTCTCACATTCACTTGCTCCCTCTCACATTCACTCGCTCACTCTCACTCTCACATTCACTCGCTCTCACATTCACTTGCTCCCTCTCACATTCACTCGCTCCCTCTCACATTCACTCGCTTACTCTCACATTCACTCTCTCACATTCACTCACTCTCACATTCACTTGCTCACATTCTTACTCGCTCGCTCACATTCTCTCATTTACTCGCCACTCTCACATTCTCACATTCACTTGCTCATTCTCTCACTCACATTCAACCACTCACATTCTCTCACATTCACTCACTCTCACATTCACTCTCATTCACTCATTTGCTCTCACATTCACTCTCACATTCACTCGCGCTCACGTTCACTCTCCCACATTCTCTTACTCGCTCTCACATTCACTCACTCGCTGACTCTCACATTCACTCGTTCACATTCACTCGCTCACTCTCACATTCTCTTACTCGCTCACATTAACTCGCTCACATTCACTCACTCTCACATTCACTTGCTCTCATTATCTCGCTCTCACATTCACTCTCACATTCTCACATTCACTCGCTCACTCACATTCACTCACTCGCTCTCACATTGACTCACTTACTCTCACATTCACTTGCTCTCATTCTCATGCTCTCATATTCACTCTCACATTCACTCACTCGCTCACTCTCACATTGACTCACTTGCTCTCACATTCACTCACTCACTCTCACATTCATTCGTTCACATTCACTCACTCTCACTCAAATTTCACTCACTCTCTCACATTCATTAACTCGCTCTCATATTAACTCACTCGCTCTCATATTAACTCACTCGCTCATTCTCACATTCACTCGCTCTCACATTCAATCACTCTTTCACATTCGCTCTCATTCACTCACTCGCTCTCACATTCAATCACTCTTTCACATTCGCTCTCATTCACTCACTCGCTCTCATTCACTCACTCGCTCTCACATTCACTCACTTGCTCTCACATTCTCTCACTCGCTCTCACATTCACTCGCTCACATTCACTCACTCGCTCTCAGTCTCTCGCTCTCATATTCACTCTCTCACATTCACTCCTCTGCATACGTCTCCTTCCAGATGGGTCAATTCATGAGTGATAAAGCAGGCATTGAAGCTATTCTCTTCCCACACGAGGAAGATGATTTTGATTCCAGTCCAGAGAATAAGGTAACATTTTTCATGTTAACAGCAGTAGAGGCAGTGTGGTAGCCTTGTGGTTAAAGCGTTTTCTCATCTTGCAAAAGGCATGAGTTCAATTCCCATCTTGGTACAATATGTGAAGTAAGGTTTTACTCTGAAGTATATGTCACACTTCCATTTGACAAGAGATTCGATACTTAATTACAAAATTTACATTAATCATGTTCATTAGTATATAAACAACAGTTTGGCAGTGAAACTGTTCAGAAGAATATATCCTTGAAAAGCTATAAATACTGATCACTGCATCCACAATCCTGGAAAATATGTTTGGGGAGATAAATCTTTTGTTTTTCACTTTTCCTTAATGTCAGACATAGGCAGTCCTTTGTAGGTTGGTCATCTTTAACTGTGGTGGAATTATCAGTGTCATTATGTATTTCAGCTGCTGTTTGAGTACTGTGAAAACACCTATGCTGCCTTCTTGTCCGAGGAGGATGAATATGATGCCTATGATGAGGAGTTGTCGAGGATGCTCAGTAAGTCACTTGCATCTTGACTCAGCTGGATAAAGGGCTAGAGCTGAGGCAGTGGTAGATTGTCCTACTGTTATAACTTGAATCAATAGTTGATATATTTCAGTGTAAATGCAGAATTTTGAAAAGTTGATGTTGATTTTATGTTAATGTTTTAATTTAAAGGAATGTTTTTCTCTTGCAGAGGACAAATACCAAGGCACAGGTGGTGGTATTGATGCCCTCATTGCTGAGAACGCAAGGCTCAAGCAGGAGCTGGATCTACTTGAACAGGATGGGGTAAGACAAGAGGACACATTTTTTCATGAGAATTTTTGCACTTTTGTGTATAGCTATGTTTGGCTGATGTTTTTTTATTTATTTAATTATTCTCCAAGTTTAGTTATGCAGTTAATTTGGTTGAAGGCGACTTTCTCTCCATGATTTTACTGTGACAGTCCAGTCATAATGGCTCACAGGTGTGAATGTGCAAGCAGGTGATGCAGAATAAGAATTCACCTACTTACTGACTTTATTTGTCAGGATCGGCTGGTTGTTCTACAAGAGCAGCGTGAGGTTGTGCGGAGTGACATGACACGGTTCGACCAGTACTTGGAGGAGATGTCATCCTACCAACACAAGCTGGAGATCCAGCAGAGGGAGCTGGAAGAGGACAATGGAGGTCTAGGTCAGTGACGTGGGGTCGAGTGGGAGAGGTCAGACATGGCGTGCATAGACCTAGGGTGAGGGTGGAGGACAATGGGGGTCTAGGTGAGTGACCTGGGGTCAAGTGGGAGAGGTCAGACATGGCGTGCATAGACCTAGGGTAGAGTGAGATTGGAGAACAATGCAAGTCAAGGTCACTGACCTTGGGTCAAGTGGGGGAGGTCAAGAGTTGGGTTGAGTGAGGGAGGAGGACAATGCACGGCTGGGTCAGTCACATTGGGCTGCTTGAAGGATAATGACAACATAAGGCCTAGATCAGTGATCCAGGGTTGGATGAGGGCGCTGGGCAATGGCCATTGGGTTTACGTGAAGAGGACAAGTGAGATCCAGGTCAATGGCATGGGGTTGGGAAGGACAACAGAGGTCAAGGTCAGTGACGTTAAAGGGAGGACAATAAATGTTCAGGTCATGGACTTGAAGAGTGGGGAAAGAGGGTCTACTGGGGCTGTGATCTGGTTAGCAGTAGACCTATAGCCATTGTCAGCTGCAACTCATATTTTCCAAATTTCTCTTTACAAATGAGTCCTGACAATTGTTTATAAATTATGGGCATAGCTCCATCTTCATATTGAAGAACCCGTGAAGGTCCGGGTTAGAATGAACGTAAGAGGCAACTAACGGGATCGGGTGGTCAGGCTCACAGACTTGGTTGACACATGTCAACGGTTCCCAATTGCTCAGATCGATGCTCATGCTGTTGATCACTGGATTGTCTGGTCCAGACTCGATTATTTACAGACCACCGCCATATAGCTGGAATATTGCTGAGTGCAGCGTAAAACTAAACTCACTCACTCATATTGAAGATGGTTCAATGTGACTGTCTCTCTTGAATTGACAGGGTTAAATGTTGTATTGACTATTTGCTTGAAGATCTCCCTTGAAATATGCTAGTGATGAGTAAGAATTGTATGTTTGACTTTCTCCGTCCTCACTGCAGAAGCTGAATACAGGTCAGTGGAACAGAAGAACAAGCACATGCAGGCAATCTATGAGACCCAGAACCTGACCCCTGCAGATGTGGAGCGCCTGAAGCTGAACCGGCAGGAACTGCAGCGGCAGATTGATGCCCTGGACAAGGAGATTGAGCAGGTTGACCTTGACAACTGGAAGGAAGAGATGAACATGGCTAAGTCCAGAGAAAGAGTAAGGATGACTTTTTGTTTAGGTTCTTGAGAGGCATATAGAAGTTGGTATTCAAGTATAGGACAAAATATTATGGATGTCAACTTTCTTTATTGTATACACAACGTTTCTGGGCTATTCCTTCCCCTTCGTCGCGGCATCACGTACATAATCATGTCCTGGGAAAACAAACCAATGGTTGATATTATGAGCAAGGTCCTATTGTAATCTGAGTACCCTGATGTAACTTGATGAGTACATTATTATAAGACTGGAGAAATGGGACAACAATATATAAAGTGTTCATTCTAAATAGCAGTATTAATGTTGAACCCGATGAAAGTGAAATTTAGCTCTGATATTGTTTGTCAGCCCCATCCATACCTGCCTCCTTACTTTCACCAGCGTGGTAAACAAACTTTCATTTCAGATTTCCTTTCACATGAAGTTGACAAACCATGTTATAGCAGAAATATTGATGAAAGCATTGTATTTTCTTTTTTCAGATGGAAACGAAGAGCAGTGAATACAATAAGATGGCTCACGGTTTGAAACTTGTCCCAGCTTCAGCTGAGAATGCATGTGGCATTGACTATGAACTGAAGACTTCCTACCAGAACACAATGACTGTTGACTTTGACAGTACAATCAAACCAGCGCTGATGCAGCTGAAGAAACAGTGCAATGTCAGCTTGAATGAGAAGTCCCGACAGTTGTTAATCCAGCAGGATGCCCTGGAGCAGCTGTGTGAGCATGTTACAGAGCATCAGGATGCTGTCAGGGTGATGGAGAAGAATCTCAACATAGCTGACGAGGAGTACAAGACAGAAAAAGAGGTGGGTGGTAGGATCAGAGTTGGGTTTAGATGGCTTGTGGTGCCGGTGGGCTCTTACATGTCTGAGGGAGGAGGTGGGTGGGGGTGGGATCTGATATGTCTCAGGGTGAAGATGGGTGGATCAGGGTGGGTGTGGGTGTGGTATGATCTGATATGTCTCAGGGTGAAGATGGGTGGTGGGCTGATCAGGATGGGTGGTGGTGGGATCTGATATGTCTGAGGGTGAAGATGGGTGGATCAGGGTGTGTGGTATGATCTGATATGTATGAGGGTGAAGATTGGTGGTGGGCGATCAGGATGGGTGGTGGTGGGATCTGATATGTCTCAGGGTGAAGATGGGTGGGTGGGTGTGTGGTATGATCTGATATGTCTGAGGGTGAAGATGGGTGGTGGGTGATTAGGATGGGTGGTGTGGGATCTGATATGTCTGAGCTTGAAGATGGGTGGATCAGGGTGGGTGGGTGTGTGGTATGATCTGATATGTCTGAGGGGTGAAGATGGGTGGCCAGTGGGATCTGATATGTCTCAGGGTGAAGATGGGTGGATCAGGGTGGGTGGGATCTGATATGTCAGGATGGTGGTGGTGGATGATAGATGAAGATGGGTGGATGGGTGGGTGGGTGGTATCAGGGGGTGGATGTGTGTGTGTGGTATGATCTGAGGGTATGTCTGAGGGGTGATCTGATATGTCTCAGGATGAAGATGGGTGGATCAGGTGGGGTGGTATGATCTGATATGTCTGAGGGTGAAGATGGGTGGTGGTCAGGATGGGTGGTGGTGGGATCTGATATGTCTGAGGGTGAAGATGGGTGGATCAGGGTGGGTGGGTGGTATGATCTGATATGTCTGAGGGTGAAGATGGGTGGGGTGGGATCTGATATGTGTGATATGTCTCAGGGTGAAGATGGGTGGGTGGTATGATCTGATATGTCTGAGGGTGAAGATGGGTGGTGGGTGATTAGATGGGTGGGATCTGATATGTCTCAGGGTGAAGATGGGTGGGTGGGTGGGTGGTATGATCTGATATATCTCAGGGTGAAGATGGGTGGTGGTGGGATCTGATATGTCTAAGCTTGAAGATGGGTGGATCAGGGTGTGTGGTATGATCTGATATGTCTGAGGGTGAAGATGGGTGGTGGGGGATCAGGATGGGTGGTGGTGGGATCTGATATGTCTCAGGGTGAAGATGGGTGGATCAGGGTGGGTGGGTGGTATGAGCTGTTATGTCTGAGGTTGAAGATGGGTGGTGAGAGATCAAGATGGGTTGTGGTGGGATCTGATATGTCTAAGCTTGAAGATGGGTTGATCAGGGTGGGTGGGTGTGTGGTATGATCTGATATGTCTGAGGGTGAAGTCGGGTGGTTGTGGGATCTGATATGTCTGAGGGTGAAGATGGGTGGATCAGGGTAGGTGGGTGGTATAATCTGATATGTCTCAGGGTGAAGATGGATGGATCAGGGTGGGTGGGTGTGTGGTATGATCTGATATGTCTCAGGGTGAAGAGAGTGGTGGGCGATCAGGATGGGTGGTGGTGGGATCTCATATGTCTTAGCTTGAAGATGGGTGGATCAGGGTGGGTGGTATGATCTGATATGTCTGCGGGTGAAGGTGGGTGGTGGGGGATCAGGATGGGTGGTGGTGGGATCTTATATGTCTGAGAGTGAAGATGGGTTGTGATACAATCAGGTGGTGTGGTCGATCTGGGTGGCTGCCAATAGCTTTAGAAAGTTTTAGTGATATACTATCATGGTCCAGTTCTTACAACTGTGGGGTATTCATTAAGTCTGAATCTCCATACAAGGCAGGGATAACATTGCAGGAATGCTGCTTAGTACACTATCATGTTTGGTCAAGAAGTATTTTATATTATATATGTCAACTGCAGTATGTTTTTGCAAATATCAAATGCCCATTGAAGAAGTAACTAACCCTTCCATTTTCCAGAGCTATCAGCAAGAGGTTCAAAACATCATGGAAGATATTGAGCTCAAACAGAAGATGTGGGACAATGGCAAGAAGTCCTCGCAACAGTGTCGACAGGAGACACAGAGGGAGTATAAGGATGCAGTCAAACTGTAAGTCTCAAATCAGGGGATTCAAAAACTTTATCGGTCAATAGAAATTAATGTTGGTGGTCACAACTGACTCTGAAGGTAGTCGGTTGATTGCCATTTCACTAGTGTATAAATGTTAAATAAAAGGAGGGGGTCATGGTTCAAATACTACAGCAGCATAAAGCCCTAGATTTTGAAGACTCAATGTTATAATAAGTGACTTTGCTTTTACGCCGCTTTTAGCAATATCACGGCGGGAGACACAAGAAATAAGCTTTACACACTGTGCCCATATGGAAAATCGAACTCGGGCCTTCGATGTGACGAGCAAATGCTTTAACCACTAGGCTACACCACCACCCCTCTCAATGTTATAAGTTACTATTCATTTTAAGTGACTATTCATTAAAGTATTGACTTTTTGTGTTCCTGACAAAGTAAAAAAAATCTGCGTATTAAAATGAATAATATGCTTTGTAAACATTACTCAGGTTTTGAGGAAACTCCATTTGCAATTGAATGAAACTATCATATATGCTTTGTTCTCTTTCTTCAGAGCTGAACAGAGGAAGATTGAATTACTGGAGGAGGAGCAGCAGTCGGTAGAGTTCCTGGACACGGTCGTCCGGGAAGTCGTGGAGCACAAAACAGCTATTTCAGTAAGTTCTAGCATAATTAACTTCCACCATGTTTATTTGCCTTAGCTATCAGCTCCTTATCCATGCTTATGGTTTTCTTTGCAGTGATAAAAGTCGACAGTCTGAATGAAACATATCAAATAAACCTTGTGGTGCTAAGTGAAAATACTATCACGGTATCATTAAATCCCATATCCCCACTAAATGTTGTACGCTTCATCAAATAGAAAGCAAATCTTGTGTGTTATCTAGTTCATTTCCATTACTCCCAAACTCATAAACTGTCACCTTCTATTTTGTTCTTTGTATGTCGCCTCTAACTTTATACCCAACGTTTAATAGTCATCTACATCACGAAAAATTTGTTGTTTGAGTGGTGCAGCTGAAACCTGTGATATGTTTGGATCCTGGATCATGTTTCTAAGTTTGTCAAGCCCACACTTGAGTCAGTCGTCGTTTCGCCAAGTGGTAAACATGCAACACCTGCATCACTCCAGGTTGTCCTCCCACATGAAACTGACCGCCTCTGTGGTGTAGTGGTTAGACAGTCCGCCCGGAGAGTGGAAGGTCGCAGGTTGGATCGCGGACGCTTCATACCAAAAGACGTTAAAATATGGTACTTTTTGGTCCCTGCCTGGCACTCAGCAGTAATGCACGTCGTCATATGAGCGAAATATTCTCAAGTACGACGTTAAATTCCATTTCACCTCACCTCACCCCACCCCACATGAAACTTGCGTGACATGATTTAACTAAACTTTTGTTGTAACTCACTCTCTCACTCTTCACTTCAGGAGAGACTACAAGAGGTGGTTGCTGATACGAAAGTACTCCAGAAGAAAACACAAGAGGAAACAGAGAAGATATTTAGTTATCACTGAACCTTCACACAGGCACCTTTTCATCTGTACACACAAGTTGTTATATAAAACAGCTTCTTACTCATGACAGCAGTGGTTTTATAGAGACAAATCCAAAATGTCACTGTTTGGTCGCCTAGTAGTGCTCTGATACAGCAAGATGAAATATACTGTAAATATCATGTGAGCCTTGTCCAGTGAGATGTGTCCAGACCTGTTCCCGCCATGTAGTGAGTCATCTGCTGCTCCCTACTCATCCAAGGACAACAGTGTACACTGCAACAAGCTGACAGGACATCACCCAGTAGAAACACTGCCTTGTCAACACAGGTGGCCACAGAGCAGGATTGACAACTTATTCTAAAAACATTTATTTTATTCATTAAAATACCATCTTTGTGTGCCTAAGATGCTGTGTTTGCAATGCTGATGCTGCAGTCTAGATGGGTATTAAGAACAACTAAAGAAGTTGGATGTAATCACGACAAGGAGTGTTATGGAGCACAACCTCTTTGATAAAAGCCACTGCCTCCATCATCAAAGTCAGTCAGTTAGTGAAACCATTTCATATTGACTTCCTTTAGTGAAAATGGCAAATTCATGTTTAAACAAACAATGTGTGTCCATTTGCTAACACAATCTGTAGGATGTTTACATAAAACTATGTATATATACTGAAGCTTCCCTTAACACTGTCATTCAATCTCTATGGCATTTTGCCACCCTAACTGCCTATTGCTCTAACACAGCACACATTGCATGCATGAAACAACTAGAATTGTCTATATCAGTGGCCTACTTCGGCTTCAGAGGCAGATCTGTCAGTTGAATAATAAAGTAGTGTACATCAATGTTTCATGAAGAGTTTGTTTTAAATCAGATTTACATCATTTTTGCATACCAGGATCCTACGAGTGAGTGAGTGATTTTAGTTTTACGCCGCACTCAACAATATTCCAGCTATATGGCGGCGGTCTGTAAATAATGGAGTCTGGACCAGACAATCCAGTGATCAACAGCATGAGCATCGATCTATGCAATTGGGATACGATAACATGTGTCAACCAAGTCAGAGAGCCTGACCACCCAATCCCGTTAGTCACCTCTTACAACAAGCATGGGTTACTAAAGATCAATTCTAACCCGGATCTTCACGGGTCCAGTTTCCTATGAATGTGGGTTTGAATCTGAGATTCTACCAGATAAGGATGCTTCAGCACAATACAAGTGCTGGTGAGTATCACAAATATAGTGAGTCCTGCATTTCTTTATGCTTTCGACCTACAAGCTGACAGCTGAAATACTGTTCAAAGCCATGTTAAACTGGACTCTTTCACTCATTCTGATGTTTTTTTTAGGCAGAATGCCTTTTCACAAAACATGGCCCCACATGGATTCAGTGTTAGAACAGATTCCCAGCAGCCAACCCTGGTTGTCAGTTTTGTGTAAAAGGAAAGATTTTGAAAATTCACGTCAAAACTGGAGTCTTTTGTTGGTATATTCTGATTTTGATGAAAAACTATGACCTTGGGCTTTCACATGCTCAACTTTTTTCAGCGTAACTTCTTCCTTCAGCCCTGAAAATGCAAGGCCTATGACCTACAACTTGTGTGACAGATCCAGGCTATAGTGACTCAAACTCTTACAGTGAATACAGATTCAACTTAAAAATTATACATGAAATACAATTCATCAATACTAAGCCTCGGACAAGCAATTTCAGATTCTCATGGATTCTGCATAAACACATATCTCTATCCTTGGCAGTAGGAGCAACAATCCAGAAAGGTTTCAGTTTCCTTGAAAGTTGATAGTGAAATTCTGTCGGAAGGGATCACAGATCTGAATTTTGTGTATAGTTTCTTTACACTGTCAAGGAGAAACCTCTTCTGTTTCTTTATCTTCTGTACCGTGATTGTTTCTTTTTTCCCTGGCGTCATTATACTATTGTCATGTCTTTTGTAGAAGCAGTGGACTTTCTCCATGACAAAATCCTGAAGTCTCTTTCGTTTCATTTATGTTCTTTCAAGCCAGTTCTGGCGAGTTTTGTGTCATTGAAGCTGTTTTTCACTGAAAGAAAGTTCCTTTGCTGCTGCCCGAACAAGGCGGTATTTCTTTAAAATACCACCTGATACAATTTTGCCTAGAACCCCTTTTTTCTCTTTTGTTGCATTTCTCAAGTTTCTTGTTTAGTTCTGCTACAATTCCATAAAGCAAAAGTACATTTTTCTTCACTTTATCAGAAAACTTTGAATTTCCTACAAGACTCTGTACTGTCTTTCATGGGCTGACATCTGTACCATTCATTTCATTTGCTCTGAGCAGCCTTTTATTCAAAATTCTTTGTAGACGCTTTCTGTCAGTTTCTTTAGGTTTTGGAACTGAAATTTCACTTTTGACAGCTCTCTGTATGCCTTTGCTCTGTCTCTCCTTAACCTTTTCCGGCCAACTGTTCGTCTTCCATCTGCTCCTGAGTCACTTTCATTACAGGCTGGGGATGCTGGTGGTGAATTCATTGAAAGAAATTGGTCCATTGCCTTCTGATGAGATTTTCTCGCTTGATGACGATGATAGGCCTTTCTCCATTCTTTTCTCTGATTCTTCTTTGCAGAGTTTGTCATTTCATCTATCATCTTTACTTCGTTTACTTCTTTCAGTTCATGCCATCGTTTCCTTTCTTTTTCTTTATACTGAACAAATGTCTCTGGATTTTCCCTCAGTTTCTGTCTATATCTCCTCATTCTCTCCTATGCTGTTAGTGCCATGTCTCAGAGGCAAATGGACCATCCACAAATGCCACACAAATATCGGTCAAACTCTAAATCGTTCACATCAATATTTTTCCCATAAATATTGTCTGCACATTCCAGATGATATTGTTGTCTACAAGCCCAACAAAAAAGCCATAAGGAGCCATCACTGTCAGTAAGAACTGTTTTGTCTGTACATATAAGCTGCTCCTCTAACAGATCGCTGTTTATTGCTGACTTTTGACACTCGTGACACACCCAAGAAATGTTTTCAATGTCACCCTCTGATGTGAATGCTGCAATCAAAAGAAATGATTAAACAATATCTAGTGTGAAATATGTATAACGCCGAAGCAAATTTCAATCTGGGTGGTCATATTTTCAAAGTAACTCAACTCCGTTACAACGTAATGGAGTTGAGTAACGGAGTTGAGGACACTAGGATAAAATGGGAGATCACTCTGGTAAAACAAATGCTCAGTGTCTTTTTCAGCTTGATAGTGATTCTACATTACATGACCTTTTATCAAGTAAATAAACATTTGTATTAATTTCAGAATGAGCAGAAATGAACTCTGAACGGTGTTGAGAGTGAAAAACAAACTGTACCTACCTCTGACATTGTACAACTTCAAAATTCTCATTAAAAGATGCAAGGTGTCTCTCCTTCCACCAAAAAGTTCTGTGACATCATTTCCTGTTTGCCTTGTGCTTCTTGACTTGAGAAGGCTCTAGTAGTTTCTTATGTAACGGAGTTGAGTGAAACATACGGGACACGCATTTTAATGTGTATAATTGTGAAACCAAGTTATATATGATACATATAAGCGAATATATGTTTTGCCACGTCTATCCTTAGATGCTATGTGATACAAATGAGACTACAGTGGTCATATATGTTCCACATTGTGTAACATTCTTGTGCACGGTCAGTGTGTGACAAGCAGAATTGAGCTAAAACACATGCTTTCCACCCGATATTTTTCTTTTAGTTACCTTTGTTGAATTTAATTTAGACAATTGTTAGGTTTCATAAGTCGTATTTCCTTTGTAGAGTATGGCCCAAACCAAGAAAATATAATTTATTATGAATTTTGACTGGTTGCCATGGTACATGGTGTCGTTGTGTAACAACCATTGGATCCATACTTGGATCTGTCACAGACCCCCGTGATACAGAGGCTATAAAGTTGTGACATGTTAAACTGAAATATCAAATAAGTACTAACGCAATTTCTCAAAGGGATTAAAAGAACCCGATGTTTTAAACGTATTTCGGTACCCCGAGGGGATCACACGTGAGAATGTGACTCCAAATCATACAAATTATCTGAAGGATTGAAAATTGCTGACTGACGGGTTAAACGACAAACAGAAAACACAAATTATTCGGTTGTTTGGGTTTTTCTATTTTGTAGATATTTTCATGAGAAACGGGGCGGTAGCATAGAGGTAATCGCTCGTCATGCTGAACGCCGGGTTCGATTCCTCATGGGTACAATGTGTGAAGCCCATTTCTAGTCTCCCCGCCGTGATATTACTGGAATATTGCTCAAAGCGGCGTAAAATTAAACCTACTCACTCTTGAAAAACAATCTGTTTGTAATTTTAGCAGGTAAATACCTGGCCTGCCCGGAACAGATTTGATAAAATCAGTTACACTTCCACGTTCCGTGGATAAGAGTCTTCTGTAAGCCTGTCACTTCATTTCCATTCAACTACTCACTCATCAATACATTTTCTCACGTTGTGTTTCTCCATTACTATCTGCAGAAAATAGGAGCTTGCTTTTGTATTTACGAATAGTCCGGAATACCTGAAACTAAATATCTTACCTACACAAGGAAACAAACTTTAATATTTAAATACATATTGTCCTCCGGAAATATCTGCTGAATATATGGGTCATTGTTGCGCGTATGTATAGTTCCGTATTTCAGAATGTTTTCCGAGTATAGCTTTTAGTTTACTCGATACAAACAACCCCAGGAACTCCGTACAGCGTTAGGACTCGTCTCAGAAAAAGAGTTGACAAAACAAATAGGAAAAACAATGTAACGAGTTCGCTGACCGTATTTATGGAGAGGAAATGGGCAGAAATCATAAATGGTATCGGTGCAAATATGGAAGAATATGGTTGAACAAATCTGAAACAGGACATGCCTTATGAACTCCCGTATGCAGTGAATTATTGGACATGATATTGGTGCGTAAACATAAACATATCGCACGTGTCGAACATGCAGTTCGTGTACATCTGCAGTATCTTACTTGTTTGCCTTACTGTTGCTAAAACGTGTAGGTCAATCACCACCGTTAAATCCAGTTTTTGCAGGCCCTAAGTTGTATGCTACTGGCCTTGTTGTATTCTTTGTCACCCCCAGACAAATCTGCTAATGATCATTTTCTAAACTAGATGTGTTATCAACCGGTTAGAGTTCTTTGAGGTTTTGGTAAATATGTGCCATTGTCATTTTCTGTAATCAGTAATTGTTAGGATTAGAAATCTTTAGCCAATAGGGTAATTTAAACAGGGCTATGTCTGTTATCAATTGTTTTGTGTTTTTGGTTTTTGGTTTTGTGTAATCACAAGAACAAAGAACATGAAGATGCAGTGTCTCTAATGATGACAGTGCCAGTGGCAATAACAGTATTTTAGTTTACTGGTAAATACAGTAAACTCAGGTTATAGAACTCCAAAGGACAACCACTTTTAGTTCATATACACTTTTCAACTAAAATGTACAAGGTGCCAGAACTGAAAGAACAGTTCATTATATCCCTCTGTCGATATATGCATGTTTATTATAAACATTACTTACTGTAACTGATTTTCACTGGTACAAATATGTCTAGCACTGAAAGGTTCTCTGTTTCTGTGTCTGTTATACATATTTATTGACATATGCATTGCATTACCATTAAGTCCATAGTCTTTAATTTTAACTTTTAACTAAAATGGTCATAAAGGAATTCGCCAAATTGGTAATAAAAAGCACCATACAGAAGGAAGCAAAGTGAAACATTCATTGTTTTTTCCATTCAGCGTGCATTTATTACTAATTTCATAATCTCATCATTCCTCCACCACCAAAAGTTGTATGTGTCAAAGACAAAAAAGACGTACAGTATTTTTCGACTTTCTCCCACATTAATTTTCAACCCTCCCAGTCTAGAATATTTTTCAGACCCGTCAAGATCCAGGTTAGAATTCCAGCAAACCATGTTGTCGTAAGAGGCAACCGACAGGAATGGGAGGTCACACTCGCTGATGTTATTGATGCATGTCATCTTATCTCAGTTGCGTAGATCGATGCTCATGATGTTGATCACTGTATTTTCTTGTTCAGACCTGATTACTTATAGATCGCTGTTATATAGCTGGAAAATAGCTGAGTGGAGGCTTAAACAACAATCAAACAAACAAACAAAACACAATCTGAAACTCACATAGGGTTAAACAACAATCAAACAAACAAAACGCAATATCAAACTCACATAGTGTATGGTCCTGTGTACAGTGCATAGGTCACAAATCCAGTGAAGTTAAAGGGCAAGTTGACTTTTAAACTTTAGGGCCGCCTTAGTGGCAGGTGGAGTTAGGGTTCATTCTCAATCATACCAAAAGACGTTTGGTACTTGTTGGTCCCTGCCTGGCGCTCGGCATTAATGGGTACAACAAGGACTGGTCGGCTCGGAGTCAGTATACTGTGTCTGAGTGGGGTATTCATGCTTCACTGCAGCATGGTATCTCAGTGAGCTAGCACTATAAAACCAGCTTCAGTCTGGGCTCAAGCAGCCGCATTATTAGAACACAGCCGTCATATGAGCGAAATATTCTCAAGCACGACGTTAAACCCAATTTCACCTCACCTCACCTCACCTCACCTTTAAACTTTAGGGCATTTTCAGTTTGTAAAAAAGAAATAGTGCAAAACATATGCTCAAGAATGACAGGCAAAATTGTTTTCAACATTAAAATCAATAACGAAATTTCAAAGATCAGGTCAGAGCCTAGTCTACCTACCTACAGTTTGGATATTTTAGTTGGATTACAGTTTTCTACCTGCTCATCCATTTGATTACCTTGTCAACATTTTTCATCAACTTGTTACCAACAGCAATCAACTTGTTACCAATAGCAATGAGGTTTATGTATAGCTGCTATGAATCATGAGATGTATACACTTGGCAAACATGTCAGCATGTCGACCACTTAAAACATTTGTCACACTCAGTGGGTCAGTAGCTTTAGGTCTGGCCCAAAAATTTGATTTGTTTCAGAAACCAATTACTGAATGTGGGATTTCATCACTTTCATGTCGACATTTAATACTTTCTACAAAGATTTTTCTTTCTCAGAAATTGGTTAAATGTATCCAGGAATATTGATATTAGGAACAAAATCACACTCATTCTTTTCCTGTGTATTTGCCATAGAGCAATATTGGTTAAGGGAGTAAGTGCATGGGTTGCATACTCCCCAGGGAGTTGAAAATACAATTCAAATGCGCACAAATCCATTGTATTCATGCAGTGCTGTGATTATTCACGTGATGAATTGAAAGGCACATTATCTATTGGCATATTGTTAGGAATTTTGTTATGTATGAAAGGGAAGTTGTTTGTTGATATGAATGGAATAATGATCTGCTTTATCCATAATCAGTTTACTTTTCATTTTGAATTAAATGCTTTTCTGATAATTTTTTAATCAAACTAAGAGTATTTGTATCTGTTTCAGACTCAAATATGAAATAGCTCAACAGTACAAGGAAACATGCCAGATATAAGGAAAAGGAGACTTGTCACATGATCATGCTGACAACAGAAACTTGATGTCGAAGGTTTAGTGATGAACGCCAAGATGCATCTCATAATGTTATAATGTATCATCATGGATCAGTCCATGAACTGTTTTAATCTGACATTAAGCCCACAGGATGCCTTTGCAATGGCCGACCTTGGGTTTGAAAGACTTAACAGAAAACCAAATTTCAGTGCAAAGGAGACGCAGTACATCATTGACATGGTACGCAAGTACAAGTTTGTTCTCAATGAGAAGGCATTGGATAGTGCTACCAATGAAAGGAAGAGGGAAGTCTGGCAGTTGATATGTGATGGTATCAATGAAATGACACCAGGTGTTTCAAGATCTGTTGATGAGATTAGGAAACGGTGGCAGAACTTAAACTGCACTGCTCGAAAAGAAGCTTCAAAGTTCAAGAAATATCAAACTGAAGGGCTTGCTCCTCCACCCGTATCAAATTTCAGTCTGCAGATCTTGGGCATGGCCGATGAAACTCAGGAGGATGGGGTTCAAGACTTGGACATTAATCCCCATGCCATGAAAATAGAGATAGATCTTGCCAATGAGGACAGTCAAGACAACAGTATCCAGGATGTTCCAGGGTTTGCAAGTAGCCCAGGACACTCTTCTGGTGAAAGCAGCAAGTGTGAGAACTCCTCTGTGTTGAGTGCACAGGATCAGGTCTACATACCTCCAGTATCAACCCCTACCTCTCTTCAGCCAATAGATGACCAGTTGCCACTCAACATGCCCGAATCAAGCAATAATAACCTCTCAAAGTTGGAGGGCTCTAGTCAGTCAGCATTATCATCTATACAGCAATCAAAATTCACAAGCAATGGATCATTGCCTCATAATGAGCAAGATGTTCCTCATACCAGTGCAGCAAACAGACCTCAAGGATCAAGTAGCAGCGGATTTTTGCCATCCAAACCATCATCACAGACCTCAAATCAGGGAAACACAAGTCATTCAAGAAACCACCGAAACAGAAATCTAAATCTAACAAATGACATTCAAATCCTAACTGATACCCTAACCTCGTGCTCTTCCTTTACAACCTCAAATACCTCAACAAGTAACAAATCAGGTTTCAAACAGAACAGTATTCAAGAAAGTGCAAAGAGGAGGCGTTTAGATGACCAGTCAATGAAGCTTCATGAAGAGCTGTTAGCAAGTGAGCGAGACTCCTTGTCCTTGGAGCGAGAGAAATTAAAGCTTGACAGAGAGAAACTGAAGATGGAACAGGAACAGATGGCAGTGGAGATGCAGAAGATTCTCATGGAGAAAGAGAAGCTGAACCTGGAGAAGGATGTTGAGAGAGAGAAGCTGAGGATGGATCGGGAAAGAGTTTCTCTGGAGATGCAGCAGGAGCGTCAGAAGCTTGCCTTGGAACGTGAGCGTCTGGAACTGGCTCGGGACCAGGAGAGAGCTCATGGGCGACTGGAGCAAGAGAGATTAGACATAGAAAAGGAGAAAATGGCAATGGAGCAAGAAAAACTGGCCTTGGAAATAAGTTATTGGCGGCGGAAGTTACTTCAGACTCGGTCCAGTCAGGATGATTGCGGGTTTGATAGTTAAGCAGTATGATGAATATTTATGTAGGAATGTGGTAAATGTTTTGACTCTTTAATGTTTCCATGATATTGACCTTGAACTTTTGACCTGACTTAAACGTATTTATTCCAATGAAAAAGCAAGTTTTTATGGTCAAAGTACATGTATTGCGTCAGTTAAAACACAGGTGAAGATGAATATTTTTTTACTTTTTATTTTTATCTGCCAAATGTTAATATCAGTCATACAGTAACATGGTTGTACCAAATGATGTCACTTGTTCAGTATTATGAGAATATATTCCTGGTGAAGTACTTTTGACATGAGGGCGTTGAGTGGAATCTCCCACTCCAGACTCCAACAAATCCTAAATAATTTCATGAGGCCAATGTAGGATGTAGAATACCAGATACCTTCCTCCATTTTGGTTGGGAACATGCATGAGCTCAATTCTTCATATATTTTAATCTGGAACACTGCCTCCCTTGCTAAAGGGTTTATGGTTCCTGCAACGTAAGACCAATTTCATTTGTGTTTTCTTGTGACCAAAGTTAATGATCCATACTACAGGTTTGTTAAAATAAGGTCCAGAGGCATGAAACATGACATTAAGAAACTTTTATAAGTGATATTTTGATGTTGATGTCCAATTTTTCATGTTTATGAATAGCTTTGATATTTAATACATGTATTGAGGTTTAATTATAATAAGCAACTACAATGCAAGTGGTGTCAGTTTTTCTGCTTATTTTGAGCTTTATTGCCTGGTTTTTGTTGTTTGTTTTTTTAAGAAATATAATAATAAGGCCACTAATATAGAGCTGAACTCAACAAGACGGATGTTATTACCCCAGGTAACCCAAGCTGTTGTCATATGCTGTATTAGTACCCCCAAACAAACATGGCAGATAGGTATCTAGTATTTTGCAAGTGTACTAGTGTAGTACCCTCAAACAAACATGGCAGATGTTCTATATTTTGCAAGTGTACTACTGTACCTGTTCTATATTAGTACCCTCAAACAAACATGGCAGATAGGTATCTGGTATTTTGCAAGTGTACTACTGTACATGTTCTATATTAGTACCCCCAAACAAACATGGCAGATGGATACAGAACCGGTAATGCTTTCTCTGCATACTGAACTATTCTGGAACAGCTTAGAATGTGATGTACAGTGAATCAAATACACTGAATAGTGCTCTATTTAAGGAGGGCACTTGGCAGCTTAATTACCAGTATCACAGTTAAACATTCTAGAATGGACAGGAAATATTTTGGGGACAGAAAGCTGAACACAAATCTGAAATTCATGGATCAGGAAATTGGTCAGTGCATTTAGGAGAAAGGACATATCATATGTATAATATTGGCTGGAATGTCACTGCATGCATTCTAAACAAACAAACAAACACAGTGGTATTGAAATTTTTAGATGTCATTGGCTGGACATTGAAAGACTAAGAGGACAGTACCTTAAGTCTTGTGCAATATTTTTTTCAATCATACCATCAGCCATCAACACATGGTGCACTTACCTTAACAGTCAGATGTCTGTATTTATCAATAAGAAACATAATATTTAAACTGACTTTTGATGTTGTCCACAAAATTGTTGTAATTGATATGTTTTATTTTCCACCGTAAAATTTTCAAAGAAAGTGCATTTAAGATATTTTGACTTCTACTGATATAAGATGGCATTTAGTGATTTTTTGTGAGTAAACGTCTAAATGTGCTGTATCATGATTCTATTTTATTAATGAAGACACAATTCATACTTGTTGGTCATTTGTTATGCATTTGTCGATAGTAATGGCATGTTTAGTGTAGAATTTCTCTGATATGATTGTATTTGTATGCTAGTCAAAACATAATGGCTTTGACATGAAAACAATAAATTACTGAAATAATGTAGTTATTCTGTGCTCTATTTGAGTGTAGTCTTGAATACGACTGCATGGTGTACTGGTAGCAATATACCTTTCAAACGATACTTATTGCAATTTTATTTCTCAGAATCCGTATATTGGGTATGTTTTGTGATCATATCTATGGTTTACGTTAAAATCTACAGACTTTTATTCAGACTGAAGTTTTCCATTGTAATTAGTTGACAAAACAGCATACTCTATATGAAATAATTTATTTTAAATGAAAATGCAATCCCTCAAAATCAAATCTAATTTCGAGATTTCTGTTTTTAGGGCAATATGAAGAAAATAGGCTCTGCATGTACATTGTCATGTCATTCACTGTCAAACACTGAGGCTCCCAATATATCACAGTATCGGATACCTGAATCGCAATAGTCTGCAATACAATTTATTTGCCAATACACAGCCTTAGTCTTGATGCAGTAGATAATATTGCCTTCCGTATTTATCGCCTCCACCAGTTGAACAGCTTAACACAACAGGGTGGCATGTAGACGCTATTGTTTTGGACCTGTGTATTGTCTAGATAATAGAGGCATTTAGTGGTCGATTAACAGCTCTCCAGATGAAAGCCAGGTTGGCTTTTCTCATGGCCTGATTGTCCATCGGCCGGCAGGGGCCTAGCGGTTAAGGCATTCGTTCGCCATGCCAAAAATCCGGGTTAGGTTTCCCACACGGGCACAATGTGTGAAGCCCATTTTTGGTGTACCCCGCCATAATATTGCTAAAAGGAGCGTAGAACTAAACTCACTCCATCAGCTCAGAAATCAGGGGAGCAATGAAGCTGAAAGTTCACCATTGTTTCCTCCAGTGTGTGTGTGTGTGTGTGTGTGTGTGCGTGCGTGTGCATACGGCAGCTTCACAGGCATATCCCACTCAGATGCAGTATATGGACTAGACAGTGGGTCATAGTGTTATCCCCTTTATGTCAAGTGACAGGCAGGGTAACAACTGGGACCATTTTTATATGAAGCAGCCTAACAGGGATTGACTTACTGACTGAGTTTGGTTTTACGACACTTTTAGCAATATTCCAGCAACATCACGGCGGGGGACACCAACAATGGACTTCACACATTGTACCCATGCGGGGATTCGAACCCGGGTCTCGGCGTGACGAGCCAACGCTTTAGCCACTAGGCTACCCCACCGCCCCAACAGGGATTGAGCCACCAACGGGATGGAGGCTGACATGGTTGACACATGCCATCGTATCCGAGTTGCGTAGATCGCTACTCATGCTGTTATCACATGGTTGTCTGGTCCAGACTCGATTATTTACAGACCGCCGCCATATGGCTGAAATATTGCTGAGTGCGGCGTAAAAAATAAACTCACTCACTCACCAACTCTTCACTGCAGGCAGACAGAAAATACAGTCCACAGTGTGTGAATGTTGTCAGTCACTACCCTTAACAATATATACTCCACAGTGTGTGAATATGACGGTAGACTAAGTTGATCAAGCAGTAAATGTAGAGATGCTTACATATGGGTAAGTTAAGCTTTTACTGTGGGGACAACTGCAAGCTTCATGCATGGCAACCAGACACTATAGGTCTGTTCCATTTCTGTTTCCTTTTCTCAGGTTCATTTTACCAATGACATCACTCACCCCTCTGAAAATCATTCAAAATGCTCCTCTTCTCTTGATATATAACTAGTTGAGAATGATAAAGACATCTTACTGTACGAATACTAAACATTCTTCATTTAAGTAACGACCCGTGAAGGCCCGGGTTAGAATATTGATCTTCAGTAACCTATGCTTGTCGTAAGAGGCGACTAATGGGATCGGGTGGTCAGGCTCGCTGACTTGGTTGACACGTCATCGGTTCCCAATTGCGCAGATCGATGCTCATGCTGTTGATCACTGGGTTTTCTGGTCCAGAATCGATTATTTACAGACCGCCGCCATTGTAGCTGGAATATTGCTGAGTGCGGCGTAAAACTAAACACACTCACTCATTTCAGTAACCCGTGAACATCCGGGTTAGAATTGGTCTTCAGCAACCCATGCTTGTTGTAAGAGGCATCTAACGGGATCGGCTGACACGCGTCACTGTATCCCAACTGCATAGATCGATGCTCATGCTATTGATCACTGAACTGTCTGATCCAGGCTCGTTTATTTACAGACTGAGACCATATACTTGGAATATTGCTGAGTGCATTTTAGTAATCTTTAATAGCTTATGTATTTTTGTCATCATTATAACTGACACAAACAGGTTCTTGGCAGAGAGGAAAACACAACTACGAGACACACATTTTTGAAACATTTATTTCAACCGAACCAAGTTAACATGGTTGTACAACTTATAAACAAGAAGAGAAAAGAATATCTACAGAAGATTTGTCTAGGTGTAGTGGAAGTAGGCAGTCACCACAGCTTCTTGGTGAGCTACCAGCCTCACCCAGTGGGCACTGAAGCCAGTGGGAAACACGAAAAAATCGGATTTCGTCACAGTCAGACTCACCACGGGGAACCACTCTTCTCCCGCCATGTGCGCTGAAACACAGAATGCAGGAAAACCTAGTCTCAGTGTGCGTGTGCGTGTGCATGTGCGTGTGTGTATGTGTGTGCCAATGCCAGTTTAGTAGTACTTGCCAAATGAGGTACCATGGCCTCGTAAACATGGATATCCTACCCCAAAAGCACCAAGCCGATCAAATTGGTGTGTTAATTTATTTAGGTATCAAGTAAAAAATAGAATTATGTATACCAATGTAGCATTTTCATAATTAAAACTCCTGAGAGGGTACGTAAGTCCCAAAAAACTTTCAAAGTCAAGTTTGCTCAACCATACTTTTTAATCGTAGTATGTTTGTTATTTTAAATTTTGGCTAACTCTTCCTGCAGTCGCCAGCGGCTGAGGGGATGGTGTAAATCCAGCTAGGGTCCATGCAGGTAGCAAAGGCACTGTAAGTCCCCATGGACCCTAGTATGGTGATCTACCTTCAGTTGTTGGCGATCTATAGCCCGTGTTTTATATTGTACTGTCTTCTTCAATTAAAATGTTTTAGATTTACATTCTAGTTTTATATTCATATCTGTGATACTCTAGGATTTTTACTGTCCATCGTTGACAGGTTTAACTCTTCACAATGTTTTCCTTTTTGTATTGTATAAATTGTCTTCGTCACGATATGGCTGAGATATTGCCGATGTGACGTTAAATATTAACTCACTCACTCACTCATAATTAAAACAATACAAACATCAAAAGCCATCTGAACTGTACCTGCAGCGCCCGTAATGTCGACCTCAACGTCAAACGTCACACTTGATGACGTAGAATTGAGGATCGTTATGAAGAGCACCTTCTTGTCAAAACCAGTCATAAGGTAGGGGTCGGAGACGGTGTTCGCCTCCACCCTGTCCCTCCTCCACACAGCGCCCCACCCCTGCGGCTTGCCGAACCCCCACAGGTCGTCAGTCTTCCCAAACCATAGACCAGACTGGGCCTGCCCCGTCACCACGTTGTTGTCGAAGATGGAGGATACCTAGAACAGAAACACAGGTGTCGAGGTCCCCGCTATATGAATTACTTTTGCCGTTTGAGATACCATGCCACAGTTCTACTATGGATATATCTCTCAGACACAGCATACTGACTGCGAGACGTATTATCCCTTTAACGTCGAACGCCGGGCACGGTAACATAAAGCCCATACAATAATGTCTTTGAAATGACACGACCGTAAATCGAACAATTCATTCTCCGCTCTCCATCCTTTATTTATACAACCTATTGTCATTCTATGAATGTAGTCAGTATTATACCTTTCCCACAACGTCAAATACAACGTTCCCACAAACTATAATACAACGTAACCTAGTGGCTAAATTTATTTATTTATAGTATATTTATATAGGCTATCCACGCAACTGGTTCGCTCGTCACGCCGAGGACCCGAGTTCGATTCCCCACATGGGTACAATATGTGTGAAGCCCATATATGGTGTCCCCCACCGTGATATTGCTGAAATATTGCTAAAAGCGGCTTAAAATTCATTCACTCACTCACTCAAGACGCTGGTCGTACCTGGTTTCCACCTAGGACCAGCATCCCTCTGAACGACGTGTAGTCGGGGATCATCCTCAAGTGCTGACACACTGGTCGGACACCCCACGTGCTTCCGGCCCAACCAAGGGGAGACAACTCATAGAACATTCCGTGCATGTCCATTAGGTAGCGTTCAGTCTCGACCTCTCTGATGCGGGGCCATTCCGTCTGCCACAGATGGTCGTATGCATGGCTAGCCTTTGGTAGACGATAGGTCTGCCAGTTTCTGTAAGCTGAGAAAAATGTAACATTTGACTTGTCAGGATTGAAATATACCCTTGATAATGAAATAGGCATCTTTGGAGACTATTTTATATACATCTATTTCACTGTTTACATGGGTCGTAAAGATAGTGGCATACGGAACAAAGTTGTCAATGAACGCTATCATTTAGTCGATCATTTTATTGGGGTTTATCATGCCGTTTTGCATAAATGTGAATTAAGTAGTGTTTCACATAATGAGAGTTGGTAGCCAATATCAATACGAAATTTGGCATGAACCGCCCTCAAAGCGTTACATGTTATAAACCCTTGCTAGTCCACGATAATGGTACTCTTCAAATGCGGAAGTAGGAATCCGTTTCCTGTATTCTGGGTTTCGTTCTTCAAACAGTCTTAGCGCTGCCACTACCGTATTACGTCTAATTTGAACAGAATGATTGCTAAAAGGCAACAGCTATGACCTCACCGACGTCGTCGCCATTAAAGACCTTGAGGATGACGGAACGGTAGTCCCAGCCGAGAGCGTAGATGACCTTCCCGAAGTTCCTTCTGCCAGCCACCTCGACGAACGCCGTCTTCGCTAGGATTGTCCAGTTGCTTCCTGGGCCTTTCCACTCTGCCAGACGCCCGCCATCTTGAATGCTAGATACAGTTGAGTACAATGAAAGAAGGACATCCGCCACCGTCATTTCCAGGAATAGACGTAATTAATACCCTGTATGAAACTAAGGCACTAATGTGTCTAATAACTGATAGATTGATTTATCACCCAGAACTGTCCTTCCATAGGGTTTCCATAGCAGACTTAGCAAGCTATTGCTACAATTAAATTGTTACCATCATTTGCGGCCCATTGTAAAGCCGTTGGTTACCATGACCTGAAAGTCAATCATTTATCTCTCTACCATAGTCTGTCATACAGACCCTGAAACAAATATACCCAATGTAGCCCATGGAAAGTGTAGATTAACACATTTCTGAAAATGAAAAAGTATCTGGGCTCTTTTTGATTGTATTCTATTTTAATTTAAAAACTTTTTTCCCTTTAAAATATGTTCATTTCAGAGACTAGCTGTACAGAGACATGTTTTTAGTGACCCGTTCAAAAGTGTGATATCAGATCAGATAAATATGTTTATTCTTAAAATTTGGATGGTTAGGGGGTGGGTGGTAATGATCACGAACTTATTTGATTTCTCACTGTTTTCTGTAGTAACTACCTGTAAACAAAGCCACACCACCACCACCCCCATTCCCGATCTTTTATATATACTATTCACACTTTGCTAAGGATCAAACCATTGATTCAAAGAAAACTATGATGTGGGGTCTAATTTGGTTTAAAATATATAAACTTTTTGTAAGCATGTATCCTAGGTTTCAGTATGTCACTGCATCTTGTGGATCCCATACCTGCTATTCACAGGTGTTGTGTACTTGTCAGTGACTCGTTCCACGATTTGCAAAATGGTTGATTGGTGCCATAAAAAACATTTTGATGGTTACTCATGTATCAAGTGTATAAGGTTAGATTAAAGTGGCTGTTTGCCTATAGAGGGGTTACCATATCATTATTTATCTAGTTTTAAATATATACAATTTCAAATTATAAATCTATATTTAAGTAAAGTTTGGGATTTTTGTGATCCTTAGCAAAGTGTGAGTAGCATATGTCACCAATCCTATCTTGTACCACGAGACATCTCAGAACTTGAGGAATTAAGATTTCTGCCCTACATTAAGATCCTGCACCGGTCCCTTTCCCTTCGCAAACAGAAAAAAACCTCGAAGAATGGTTCTGTCATCCTGCCAACAGAAGGTGCTGGCGCAGCAAAGTACATCTATGTATTTCCAAGAGATATTTAAGTATTGTAACCCTTCAAAGTCTGCCTCTTCGAAAGTGTTGCTCGTCACCACGAGTCTGTCGTTCATGGTGTGAGCGGCCTTGAAGTGGGGCTGCTCGCCCTCATTGGCTGGAATCCCTAGTGTCTGAACCAGGTCAAATAGCTGGACACAGGTCAAGTTGTAGACGTTACACTCCCACAGCGGACCATCCATGCCCAGCATGTACACCTGTTGACGAGTTATTATATCATACATTCTAATAATAAATAATAATTGTGAATATATAATGCGCCTTTTTCATGTACAAGGCACATGCTCAAAGCGCTAACACACAATCTGATTAGTATTACCCCGGATAACCCAAGCTGCCGTGAGCCCCAAGAAGGTTAATAGTCGCATAACCTATCCTACCGGGTACCTATGTTCTGCTGGGTGAACATGGGCAAGTTTGAACAAACTCACTTGCCTCAGGTGAGACCACATGTATAACATGTGTTTCCTTGTGGGGCAGGACTGACGTCCAAGAAACTCTCAGGAGTCAAGCTGCCAAACACGGTCCCCCATCCAAGGACTCTTGCTTAACTTTGCTCAACTTCAACTGATCTGTGACCTGAGCTCTATGCACAGGACCACACAGCACCAATCTACATATATACGGTATGCGGGCACGTTTCAGGTAGAAACAGTGACGGTATTCTATAAACTATGTTCGTATTATGGGTTTTCAGACATTCTTAGGTATCCTTCTAATCACATAAACGAACATCTCACGAACTTATAAAAGATAACTTTATCCTCAACAGAAGCCAATATTCAAGAATTTACGATGTATGTGTGACGCAACATCCCTCTCATATCCCATAAAGGCCTGTCTTCCAGAAACCGACGATGAATAAAGAGATTCGTAATAAGTAATAGATAATAACACTATGTACAATTACAAAATATTTGACTATGGCCGAGGAATTATCAAATATTTCAGGTGTATAAGACAAAATATTATGGATGTCAACTTCTTCTGTATTGTATGCATAACGTTTCTGGGCTATCCCTTGCCCCTGCGTCAGACACATTCTATCTGTGCTCATTCACCTGACGAATGGGTAAGGAAAAGCCCAGAAACCTTGTGTATGCAATACAGTTGACATCCATTATATTTTGTTTTATACTTGAATACCAACTTCTATATGCCTCTCAAGAACCTTATTTCAGGTTTGTGTGAAATTTTATCTAATTTGTATTTCTGTGTTACCAGCGTCATGAGTTGAAGGACGATTTGGCCCTTTAAATTAAAAGCATGGACTCCACGTGCAACGACTCAAAAAATAGCCAACAGGCAGACGGGATTCAGGCTCCCTTCCCCCTCGGTTATCCAGTCTGTCATGCGATATAACAATACGCTGGGTAATCGAGGACGAGACCCACTTTTCACCTTACCAGATTTTTGGGGTCCGTTAAGTGTTCTGCTGTGGCTGCAACTCGGACATGCAACAAGTCTTGAAATGTGGACACGTTGCCATGGACATCTATCAACCAGGCTCCGATGACAATCTGATTGGATTCTTTGTGCAGGAGACGGTTGGCATACGTCGAGCGATGGTTCGCTAGTTTGGTTAGCTGCAACATCAACAACACCATTGTATGATAAGTTTATCCTTACATAAACGTGACGTGATGGAAGCCCAGGAATATATGAGCAATTTTCTCGTGGAAAGCTCACATTAATTTTGTAGTTGTTATTGTTTTTTTTAATATATTTATTTATTTATTTATTTATTTATTTATTTATTTATTTATTTATTTATTTATTTATTTATTAGGGTGAATGTAGGTAATTATAACTCTTTCATCGGCATTTGGATGGTGAGGTGAGGTGAAATTGGGTTTAACGTCGTGCTTGAGAATATTTCGCTCATATGACGACGTGCATGCGTGTGTATGTGTATGTGCGGCTTCTTGTACTAGCCCAGACTTGAGCTGGTTTTATAGTGCTACCCACTGAGATACCATGCCGCAGTGAAGCATATGAATACCCCACTAAGACACATTATACTGACTCCGAGCCGACCAGTCCTTGTTGTACCCATTAATGCCGAGCGCCAGGCAGGGACCAACAAGTACCATATTTTAACGTCTTTTGGTATGACCCGGTCGGCGATCGAACCCGCGACCTTCCGCTCTCCGGGCGGACTAACCACTACACCACGGAGGCGGTCGGCATTTGGAAGGTGCCTACTTAGTAAAATTTGATTAACCCTTGAAAATCCGGGTTAGAATGTATACTCCATGTAGCTCATTCACTCCCGAAGTAAGCCCATACTCCCCATAACGTCTTCCGTAATAGAATAAGGAGGGATAAGGGAGAGCATTTATAGATGTCGTTAGACTAACATGAACATAAACTCTGTCAAAAAAGACAACGATATCCCGACTTTGGAGCCGCTACAACAACTTCAATTTGACCAACGATCGCCCGAGAAGTGGAAGGCCAAGAATCACGACCCCCCTTCAAGATCGGTACATCCGGGTCCATCACCTGCGTAATCGGCATGCCCTACCAACCGTGACTGCCACACAAATACCAGGTTTGAGGAGAGTGTCAGCTCAAACGATTAGGAACCGTCTGAAAGAAGCGGGTTTACGTGCCTGTAGACCAGTTGTTGGACCTGTACTACGCCCCCTACATCGACGCCGACGACTCAGGTGGTGCAACAACGTAAGGATACAGACTTTACAAAACTGGAGGCGAATCTGGTTTTCTGATGAATCACGTTTTCTTTTGCAACGTCACGACGGAAGACAGCGTCTGTATAGGAGACGTCATAAACGTTTTGCGCCCATCTGCGTCCGACAGGTGGACAGATTTGGCGGAGAAAGCGTCATGGTTTGGGGAACCATCTCATACAACCAGAAATCAGACTTGGTGATCGTTCCAGGGAACCTGACAGCCCAACGTTACATCAACCACGTGTTAGAGCTTCACCTTCTCCCGATTATTGACCAACAGACACAGATTTTTCAACGGGACAACGCCCGGCCTCATACTGCACGTGCAACAATGAACTTTCTGCAGAATTCCAACGTCAATGTCTTGCCATGACCCTCTAAATCACCAGACCTCAACCCTATTGAACACCTGTGGGATACTCTGGATCGACGCGTACGTCAACGTCAGCCGCCGCCACAGACGCTGCAACAGCTCGCCGTTGCACTGCAGGAGGAGTGGAGAGCCATTCCCCAGGAAAGAATCCGGCGTCTTATCCGTTCTTGTCCAAGGAGATGCCGTGCAGTGATTGCAGCGCGTGGTGCTCATACGAGATACTGAGAAAGACGCCCCCCCTGGTGACAAACTGGTGTCTGTGAGATGACTTTTGAAATGACAATTTTAAACATGCCCATCTGGGTTATTATTCTGCCAAATTTCAGACTTCTGTCTTAAATAATAAAAATGCCGTGTCGTCCTAAAACTTCAGATCAAAATCTCTAAAATACAGGGGTTGCGTTTCTTTTTTGACAGAGTTTATTTACAAAAAAAAACGCGGTTCCTAAATTATAATCTTGACAAGAATCTGTATCGAAACGTCGCATCACCTGAATAAAGACGTTGTTCATCCATAAAGTTTGTCCTTATCTAGATATTATAGGATGGACAGTTTCAGATGGGACAGGCTCATTTTTAGTGCTCTGCTGTGTAATGACAACCCAGGATCCCTGAACCTCCCATTAAACTTCACCAGTCACTGTCATCTCCACACACCGCACCGCACCGTACCGCACCGCACCGCACCGCACCGCACAGCAACACAACACAAGGAACTTTGCCTTCGGGGTATACACCTGTAGTACCCTGTTCCTGAGAGCATGGAGTGAGCGAGTGAGTATGGTTTTACGCCGTTTTAGCAACATTCCAGCAATATCACAGCGAGGGACACCATGAATGGGCTTCACACATTGTACCCATGTAGGGAATCGAACCCGGGCCTTCGGCGTGACGAGCGAAAACATTAACCACTAGACTACCCCCCCACCGCCCCGAAGGACAGACTGAGTTGCCGTCAACTTATTTCTTATTTTGAGGAACACAGCTAATATCCTAATTTAGATATTTAGATACCAGGTTTATGATAACCACAGTGTGCCAAATACACGCACAGACTAACATCTAATTTCTGAATTGACATATTTACAGAAAAAGAAATTCTAAATTATATACTTATATACATGTACATAACATATACTCATGCCAATAATGGTTGTCAACCCCCTCCCCACCCCAACCCAACACACACCCCACCCCACACACCCTCTCCAATTAAAAAAAATGAAGGGGGTGACAACCATTATTGGCATGAGTATATAATAAAGGGATCCCAGTCTCGCCACATATTATAGACTTTCGTGAACTGTATTTGGTATATCTGTTTCAGGGTCTGTATGTCAGACTAGTACACTCACTGACCTTAAAGTCGCTGTCGATGGAGTAGAGTCCCGTCCCCGTTGCCGCCGTCAGGGACGGAGAGATATGAGACGACGTAGAGCTTGTCCGCCCACGGCATCAACGCTCCGGTCCCACATTCAGACCGGGGACCCTCGCTGTCGGCGGTTAGGGTCAGATGTGGGAAGATACCCCCCACGTTGAAGGGGGTCCCACCCCCAATGCTGGTGTTCGCGCTAGGAGTCGGTTGCATCGTAGGAATGGCATCATTTCTGTTATACGATTGAAACACTGTCCATTTTCTTTTGTCAGATACTATATTGTATTTCCTGTTCTTCTTCTTTCTCCTTTGACTCTGGCTTTCCACACACACGTCGAGAAGAACAATAGTTAACACAACAAAAACGTACCACTTCATTTTTTCGTGTCTCGACCCGAGCAAAGGGGGTGAAGAGAGCCCTGTCTTCAGTATAGTGAAGAGTTGACGGACGATGTTACTTGTGAACGGTGTTGTTTGTTGACTTGACACACGAGATGCTGAACCTTGACCTGCGTGCAATAATAGCCTTTGCTGATAAAGGTTATTTATTGTTGGTCTACTTTAGGATGGCTAGTGTCTCGTACGGCTTTGTTCACTGTCTCGTTATGAGGCCTTTGGTCATGAATGTTTAATGTCTAATGGAACTCATTTTCTCTCACTCGTGCTCCAAAGTGTTATCAATTTCACTCTTTCAGAGTCATTATGTTTAACCAGAGACCATATAATCTATTATATGGTTCCCGGTTTAACTTCCTTATTTGTTACGAAGCTAGTCAGTCTCACAGTCCCTAACCACATGTATCTCCCTTCTGACGAGCCCTCCCTGCAATGCTAAAGTTCTAAATGAAGCAAGTCTAGATTTCCTGTGAATCTCCCATTTCATTGGGCGCCTTTTCAATTTAAATGGAATAATTTGTTTCTATCAGAACTATATATATTCATAGATTAAGCATTAGTCTGTCACGAAGCTGACAAGTTTACCTATGTATAGCTTTAAATGAAAAACGTGAATCATTATAAAAAATTAAACTTTAAACTATACAGTTAATACAATAGAAATATAAAATACTATCAAAACATATATGTAGCCACAACAAAATAAACACTCTAATAAAGTTTGTTATATAATATATTTGAATAGTTAACCGTGTGTCGGATAATGCTAACCTTTACAACTTCGAAAGGTACCTGAAGATTACAAACTGAGCTTAATTGTGGTGTTGAGGTTGTCTAGTAGTTTACTCGTTTGCTGTAACACTGAAATCCCGGGTTCGATTCCCTCCACGGTCACAATGCGTGAAGTATCCCATGCGCTGATGGTGTTGTAATATTGCTAAAACCATACTCACTCATTTTACACACTAACGCTGAGAGAAACATTAAACTCGCAGTATCATATAATACATCCAGCTGCCTTCCAGTTAACATTTCCGGGTTAGAATATTGATCTTCAGTAACCCATGCTTGTCGTAAGAGGCGACTAACGGGATCGGGTGGTCAGGCTCGCTGACTTGGTTGACACATGTCATCAGTTCCCAATTTCGCAGATCGATGCTCATGCTGTTGATCACTGGATTGTCTGGTCCAGACTCGATTATTTACAGACCGCCGCCATATAGCTGGAATATTGTTGAGTGCGGCGTAAAACTAAACTCACTCACTCACTCCAGTTAACATTCTCAATATGTATCCATGCAGAACTGCCAAAACGAAAGAGTAATAGATAAAACATAGTTTTTCATATGACTATCATACACCTTTTGTCTCACTGTAGAAATAGACATTATAGACGCAGGTAGGACTGCACGATATTACCGATATACCGGTATTGCGCGATACACCTTTCAAACGATACTTATTGCAACGTTTCTTTTCTCAGAACCGGTATATTGGGTAATTAACATTTTCGAAGTTTTGTGATCATATCTGTCAAAATCTGCACAGACTTTCATTCAGACTGAAGTGTTCCATTGTAATTAATTTGCAAAACAGCATACGTTATATACAAATACATTTTGTAACCTCCCCAGGACAAAATGGGTGACACCACCCCTCACCCCCTTAAAATCATCAGTCCACCACGCACGCACGCGCGCGCGCACGCACACACACACACCATAAATAATGAACGGTCCCTTACGTTTGCGGTGTTTTGGCGACTGCTTTTTCAGACCGGGAACGTTTTGATAGCGTTTTTAATGTTATGGTTAGGTCCAAGTATGTTCTTTCTTTTGCCCGTCAGTTTTGTTTGTTGTTTAACGCTGCACTCGGCAATATTCAAGCTATGTGGCGACGGTATGTAGATAATCACGTTTGGACCAGTCAACCCAATGATTGACATCATGAGCATCGATCCACACAATTGGGATACGATGACCTGTGTCAACCAAGTCAGCGAGCCTGACCACCTGACCACCCAATACGTTAGTAAACTTATCCAGTTTTGATAAAGTGCCAAATTATTTGCAGCTATTGGTCGTCTGACGTCAGTTCAAACCTCTGTATTTACTATAGTAGTCTTAGGCCCCGTTTCACAAAGCTCTCGTAAGCCTAAGATCTCGTAAATTAACAACCGTACCTCCTACGCTGTAACATTCACTTACGATAGTCGTAGGGCTACGAGAGCTTTATGAAACGGGGCCCTGGCTTATTTGCATAATTATCGCATCGTGATATCATACTAGTATTTGTTGTATTGCTGTACCGAATTGATATCTGGATCCATTTCGTCATGAAATAAATTTGGTAATTGTTTCTACATAAAAATGAAGATGATGCACATACTGTCCTTTCAATGAAGGATCTGCGCTACGTTGAATATTGTACTATAAGCGCATCTTTACACTTTGTAACTTGTAATCGGGATTATTTTTTAAATTGTCATATTACGTCAACACTTGCATCTTATTTACGCCCCATAACTGCATTTGCATCACATCATTTGAAATACGACGACAAAGGGCGTGAACTCAACACTAGTTTCATATGCATTTTAAAGTTATCACATAGCCTGATAATGTCAGAGACCCTATGGATCACCCGTTCAAATTATTTGTGTTTATCTTATCGTGCTAGGTTTCAACATTATAGAGGGCAGTGTGGTGTTAACAATATTAACATTTTATTCGCATAACGTTTTGGCCAAATTGACACTATTCAAGTCCTTTTCTTGACGTAATCACATGACACAGGAAGCGACGCCATTTCCGAAACTGGCGACTGTTTTCTACAGGGAACAAAATATCTATGACACCGCTAGTAATGGCCGCCCACGAGAGAACAACAATTTGTCTCGGCTGAAAATGGTAGACCGGATTACGGTATGACAATTGTTCTTTGTGTTTGTAACGCGCGGGGAGATAATATGTAATGTTTTATGAATGCATTACTGTTTAAATCATGTCTTAAAGACGGTTCAGAAAAGAGTAAGTTTCCGCTAAGCAGTTTCGAAAACAACCGCGTTGGATATTTGCTTCGTACTTCCGTCCAATAGGCCAATATCTTTAGTCGTATGGATAAAGAATTGCGATGTATTTGTCATTTCTGCCCTTCGTGCTTGTCATAATAAAGCCTCCATTATCTGTTAGGAAAGTGACTGGAATCGTTTACGTATCGTATAAATGGAAACATATTTATTGTGACTGTAGGGTATCCATTGATAAGGTCAGGTTTCCGAGCACCATGGACCGGTGTTGAGAGTCTTATATCCCTTTAAAAAAATAACATCCACATCAAGAATATTAACCCAAGTCATTAGATCAGCTCTTACCTAGTGTACACACTAACTGATAAGTAATATACCAAATGATGTGACTACTAAATACACTGGTTATTTTTTCAAATTTCTGTTAGCTCATAGAAGATGTCTCTTATGACCTTCTATCCCATACAGGATATACTAGTATATCATATGTCTGCTTATATTAGGCACAGGCACTGAATTACTAGCACAGACAATCAGATAAAGAAAAACATAATCATTTTGTTTCTATATTGCTTGAAATTAGTCAATCTGGATAATTTTCAGAATTTTTACTGTCATGTCTGTCGTCATAATACATTTCACTAAACATTACATTTAGTGCACATAAAAGATGCAGTGATTGGCAGTAAGGTTAGCATATTATATTTAAGAAATACAGTTCGCTCTACCCCCATGTATAGAGTAATAAAGTTCACTTTTGCCCTGAACTATTGTAGTTAAAGGATGAGGACGCTTGAGTCCGAGTGCTGCAACGTTATAATAGTTCAGGACATAGTTATGTCAATACAAAGTGATGTAATGCGAAAAGGTGTATGTTATAGCCGGATAAAGTACCGTCAGCACCTTTGATCTTTTAGCATCTTAGAATATGTAATAATAATGATAATGCTAAAAAGAACATTAATATCAAATCTAAATAAATATTTTAATGAATCATGTTGAATTAGATTATGAAGTAATTGGAAGGATTGACTATTGTGTATTTTTTTATTTTCTTCATTGATGTAGGAAAAAAAGACCAGATTAACTGTATGAATCAGAATTCATACACCAAATTTTTTCAAAGGATTATTGTAAACAAGAATAGTTGGGATACCATTTTATGATTCAAATGCATTTTGTTTGTTTTCATATGTGTAGGAATTATTTGTTCATTTTTTTGTTAGGTTCATATGAGATTTCTTTTAAAAAGATGGTGTTGTGTGGAATAATGATAAATTTGGCTTTAAATAGCGATGGCTTTTTTAGCACCTTAAACCTTAGCTCTGAGTCTCTGACCAAGTTAACTTTCTGATCGTTATGGTTACTGTGTACTTGTTAAAAATAGATGCAGTATGTAGCCTAGTGGTTAAAGCATTTCCTTGTCAGGTTTGATTTCCTCTCTTGGGTACAATGTGGCAAATGTGTTCAGCCCACAGGGTTTGCACTGACGCACAAACCTGCATGTTTGACGTAATATTCAGGCTAAATGAAGTACACAGAGAAATACATCTTGTGTCACAGATGGCGCATAAAATACTCACAATGTCAGAAGTATATATACTTTTCACTTACAGTTTCAGAAGTATATATAATTACCAACTGTTAATGTGGTAGATCCTTTTGATTGGCGAAACAATTTCATAATTAAACACCTTTTTAATTTCCTGAGTTGGCGTTCAATAGCTACATATAACAAGATTTAATCAATCTAGTTTCATATACAAAGGTATATGCATGAACAGTTTGAAATGTTTAAAAAACATTAAATGTAACTCTCAAATGTCTGCCTTTGACTCTTAGATATAATTTTACGTCATGGTGACTCCTTTGATGTCTAGAGCAAAACCTGAGCACATTTTTTGTGTCCGTGTTTGTTATAGTGCTCAAAGCTCACATTAAAGGCACACTATCATGCCACATTTCTCTAAAAATCAATATTGCATTTCTCTCAGTAATACTAGCTGTTAGCCCCCAGCGAAGCTACCATATAATTTATTCTGAAAAAAATTACGTATTAAGATAACAATATGAAATTAAAAAGCTCGAATGAATTAATGCAACGTTAAGTGGACCCTCGCGCCCTCTACCGTCCAAACTAGTTTTCAAGCAAACCCCATAGAGTTATGTCCCTTGGAACGCTCTCTGCGAATGTCCTATAACGCAACTTGTGATTGAGGCCAGTTCGGCAAACACTGACAACACCGCATCCAAGAGTTTTCGATGTACGGAGCAATCGTTTACATTCCATATAAGGCAAGTGTTATCTGTTAGGGGGCTGTTCGTCTCAAAGTTTCAATTATCGATTTCAGGCAAGTCGTAAGGGATAATAAGTCTTTTATTGTACCAATAGGGAGCTAAGGTGAGTGCATATGCCCCAATATATATATTATAAGCCATAATATTGTCGAAAAAGTGTGACATTGTGCTTTTTAAGGAAACACATGCATAGTATCAATCACTGGATTGTCTGGTTCCGACTTGATTCATTACATACTGTTATCCTATGGCTGAAGGGGCGGTGGGGTAGCCTAGTGGTTAAAGCGTTCGCTCATCGATTCTCCACATGGGTACAATGTGTGAATCCCATTTCTGGTGTCCCCCACTGTGATATTGCTGGAATATTGCTAAAAGCGGCTTAAAACCAAACTCATTCACTCCCTTACTCTTATGACTGGAATATTTGTGAGGGTGACTTAAACAACAAACAAACATGGAGTTCAAGGTCAACAGAAAATTTGAACAGATAATAGACATTGTTTTCTTTTACTTTCAGAAAAATGGCTAAAACAGAAACCATGGAGATGCAGCAAGAAGAAATATTCCACACACAATGATCGTGTCATCATGAAGAAACAACACTCATCCTTTCATAAGAAAGTCAAAGCTAAAGGAAATATAACCTTTGTCGTTCCCAAATACAAACATCATGTCATCATGAATAAGCAACACTCCTTTAATGCGGAAGTCAAGACTGAAGGAAATACAACCTTTGTCAACAGTGGCTGTGTGGAGGGCCCAATTCCCAAAGTTGGCACAATGCAGCAGGGCTTTGTGCCAGTCGCAATGCCAAACCAAACATTTACCAGAATGTCCCAAGGTACTGAATCTGTCGGCCAGGGACCGATGAGGCTCCTCACATCGCCAGGGTCATCAGTATCGCCGGTGATCATGTCAAGTCTGCCGATGCTTCAGAACACTGGGGCCCCCTGCATGTCATTTCGAGCACTAAGTTCATGGCAGGCGGTAGCACTGCCTCTGTGATTGGCCAGACATTGCCTGTTATGCAGTGTGTAAGTGCGTCATCCTTCCCAGCATCAAATGCTGTTCAGGTGATACAGAACCAACCCACACAAAACATTCAGATTGTGCAAAGTCAGCCATCTGCCAGTGCCTCAGTTTTGCAGAATTCTCTCGCAAGTAACATTCAAATCTTATCTCAAAATGCAATACAGGTAATGGCAGCTTCATCACAGGCTGCGAAGAATAATAAGTCCCCAAGCAACCCCCAAATCATGCCTCAGCCAAGCTTGCAGGATCAGTCTTTGAATGCAGTACAGGTAATGACCGCTCTGTCCGAGGCTCTGAAGAATAATAAGTCACCAAGCAACCCCCAAATCATGCCTCAGCCAAGCTTGCAGAATCAGTCTTTGAATGCAGTACAGGTAATGACCGCTCTGTCCGAGGCTCTAAAGAAGAATAAGCCACCAAGCAACCCCCAAATCATGCCTCAGCCAAGCTTGCAGAATCAGTCTCAGAATGCAGTACAGGTAATGGCAGCTCCACCTGAGGCTGCACAGCCTTCAAGTACTCCCCAAGTCATCCAACAGCCCAGTTTGCAGATTATCCAAAGTCCATCAGGGCAACTCCAGCTTGTCCCAGTGGAACAGGCCGCACCTGCCAACTTGTCAACTACTTTTAGCATTCTGAAGCCTCAGCATGCTGCTGGTAAAAAAAAGTCTGTGATCAAGAAAGAGATCAGTTCAGATGACAAGTCAGCTGTGAGTGACAAAAGCCCATCTGCTGCCAACCCAATACTGAACAACTTGTTGAAGAAAGTCAGGGGCAGAATAGACAACAATCAGCAAAAGAAGTCATCATCTGTTACTAAGGACGAATCCAGTAAGGCCCAGTCTAAGCAACTTCCAAGTCTTCTTCCCAAAGTTCCGTTGGAAATGCTTACCCCTGAAGAACATTTCAAAGAGCAGCATGAGATGCATAAAAAGCAACCAGAAAAAAATGAAACTGAGACAAAGACGTCAGAGGTGAAAGATGCCGATAAAGATGATGACAAGCCTGTTGTTATCATCAAGGACCAGCACAGGGAGAATGTAGAAGATAAAATCACATTTGCTGGAACCTCGGTGAAGCCAAAGTTTGCCATAGAATTCTCTCCAAACAATCTGCAAGCCTATGTTCAGGCAGTTGCAAATGCTGTGGAGAATCATAAGACATTGTCCGAGCAGAGTAAGTTAGAACTCAAGATTAAACGGAAAAAGGCCAGTCACAAATGTGCAGAAGAAGACTCCTTTTGGATGGCTGAGGTACCCAAAGAAACTGCTTCAGCACCTAAAGCGTCTCGACGAAAACAGACATTAGCAGTGAGGAAAGACCCATTTGATGGATGTGAAATAGTAGTTGAACCTTTTAAAAAGACAACCCAGGAAACGAAAGAAAGTAACTCCACGAGAAGTGTCCCCTGTGCTCGAAATGGAGGAAACATGCTCACAAACAGATGTAAGGCTGCATGATACTGAAGACGAAGTGGCTGTTGAAACCATTCCTGTCCCTGATCCTAAAGCAAATCAGAAGGAAAAATCTCCTCCCCATGAGGTTGGTGTCTTCATTCCACCAACCATGACCAAATCTATTTCTTCAAACCCAAGTTTCCAGCCTCAATGCCTGGTTAAAGACAAAGAAAGCATCAGTTCTCCTTCATCTAGTTCATCTACAACATCCACATTCTCAGGACCAGGAAGTTCTTCACAGAAGTCTGAAGATTCAGTTCTTCCAGTTCCGTTGAATAAAATCAAGACAGAACCTCTGGAGAAGGAGGTAGCTCCTTCAAATTCCAGACCCACCAATCTCAAAAAAGTTTCATCAATTGATAAAACTATAAAGGAAGGGACTTTGAAACAGACAACATGTGAAACAGTGTGCCACACCTCTGCAGACACAGATGCCTCCAGAGACCCTTGTCCTGTAGTTGTAGCATCTATTAAAGTGGAAACTTTGAATTCTGGATATGAATCTTCTCCATGTAGAAAAATTGTTAAAAAAAGTTTAAATTTTGGTTCTACCGAGGTGGCCAGATTGACAGAAATATCAAAGATGCCATCTCCTCTTCCAAAACCGATGTCACCATTAAAGGAGACACCAAAAGAAAATGTTTCTCTGTCATCTCCAGAACAGACTTCAGTTGAACTGTCATCTCCAGAACAGACTTCAGTTGAGCAAATTGTAAGGCAGAAAAGTACACCTAAACCAAGTTCAGTGACCCCAACTTCACTTCATGCAAAGTCAATGCTCCCATCTGTGCTTCATCCAAGTTCAGTTCCCATCACTTTGCTTCATCCAACTTCAATACCCACAACTTCGCTTCATCCAACTTCAATACCCACAACTTCAATACCCACAACTTCAATACCCACAACTTTGCTTCATCCAACTTCAATACCCACAACTTCAATACCCACAACTTCAATACCCACAACTTTGCTTCATCCAACTTCAATACCCACAACTTTGCTTCATCCAAATTCAGTGGAACAAAGTAAACAGCACTTGTGTGCAATAAACCAAACTGTGGTGAAGCGTGTCACACAGTTACAAAAAGAATTCAGATTCTGTTGTAAGGGTCAACACTAGGCTTCCTGAAGACACTGCCATCAAAGAATATCAACAGTTTTCTTTGCCCCCTTCTGAACAAAATTCAGTAGAGCAAAATTCAGCTAAGAAAAGTACAGAGCTTCTAAGCCAAGAGCATGTAAGTGCAGTTCACAATGGCACGGCTCAAAGTGTCACTGCTTCCCTAAAGGTTTTCAGTTCAGTCACTGGTACCAACACCAAGCTACCGGAAGGTACTGCCTCCCCAAAAAACTACAATCTCAACTGCCATGACTCCACAACTGGCCACAAACACAACAATATCCCAAGAAAATTCTCTGCAGACCATCCTCAGGAACCAAAGAATTTTAAGCAGCTTCCTTACATCAACACGTCAAGAGGATCTGTCAGGGACTGCCAAATCAAATGCGCTCCCTCAGTCAGCACCGGTGCATGTTGTACAACCAAGACTCTGTCCCAAAAATTTACCAACTGTAAATTCAAATGTGACTGTCCCGGTGGCTCCACTATTTTCGTCCAATTTTATACAGGTTCCTTCTGTTCCACGAGCCCCTTTGAACATTGCAAACCATGCTAACCAGCAAAAGAAAGTGTATGTTGTCCCCTCTTCTCTTTACACTGCCCTGGTAGCTCAAGCAAACTCGGGTAAACCTGTGAAACTGACGTCTGCTGACCTCATGGCTTCTCTCGAACAGAATTCTACTGAAACAATGGCTTCTCGCGAACAGAATTCTGCTGAAACAATGGCTTCACCAAAGAGTCAGATCGATGCTAGCAATGTTATGTTGATCAAAAAGCAAGATGAAAATAAGATTCCTTTGATCCCAGTTCCAGTAGCAGAGTTGTTACGTTCCAACAACAACATAGATGTATGTGAGGAGACGGACAAAGGGTTGATGGAACTCAAGATAGAGTCTGTGTTTTCACTCAACAAAGTTTGTTGTAAGTTGATGGACAAGGTTCCAAGTTATTTAGATATGTGTCTTAATTCGAAGTTAGAACACTCCCTGAAGTTGTGTTTTGTTGTGCTGGACGACAAACTGCCCCCATTGTTCCGGGCAAAGCTGGTACCAAGAGGACTCGCTTCAAGATGCCTAAGGCCTGTCCTGAAACATGCAGAACGCAGGCCTTAGACTCCATGTGTGCAAACAATAAGTGGCGGAATATTCAGTTAGGAGATGATAATTCTCAGACTTTTTCTGAACCAGCAACAAAACTTGCAAAACGAAACTAGATATCAAAAAGTATATGGTGCCTTATTTGCCCCGACTGTGTTTAATCACTCTTCGTTAAACTTATGTTAGCGTTACTTTTTGTTAGTTTTTTGCATATGTTGTTTTTGCAATTGTTAGCATGAAATACTTTTATAAAGTCTTTTTGTTTCAAGTACTGGTAAACATTTTTTATAGTGACAATCTTCCAGAGAACTGCATCATGTCTGCTGTTTTAGATAATATGTCTGTGTTAAAGTAGGGGGGTTGCAACAGGTTTAGTGGTGAGACTGTTAGCAATATTTGTAATTTCTTTAGCCATTTTCATCCTTTAGATGTGCTGGTTAATATAATATCTATGGTACAGAATTCAGAAAGGTATCTGCTGGACAAATTACAGGAAACATTATTCATGTGAATCATGTACTATATAACTGTAAAGTAGTAGTCAGATTACAAACACAATCTATGACTGAAACAGATGATTTGTAGACGATTCACCTCAGAAGCTAATAATTACAGGAAAGTACTTTATTTCAGTCGTGAGCAGCTAATTTGTGTAGGAAAAGACGTCTTTGTTTGTCACCAGAGGCTGATACTTTCAGGAAAGTTAGGGGTTTTTTTCAATCATGGTCAGAAGGTATTTTTAGTAACAGGATTCCTTCTTCCTGGTAAATTTTTCTGTTATGATAAAAAATGATAATAAAAAGAATAATCATATGTAGATAATGTAGATGATCTTTTCCACAATTACAGCGGAATTGAACATCTAGGTAATATTTTTCCCGACCTGGAAACCTTTACATGGGAATGAATAACCTGGTAACTTTACACTTTTGACTGGTTACAACTAATATAGGGCTCAAGATGCAGGGTTACTTTCCAACGAAATATTTCAAGAATGTGTGTGGGAACGCCTCATATTTGTAGAAAATCAACCTAATAAGTGTAAAACAAACAATGGATGTCAAAGCAGTGAAGTCAATAACTAAACCTTTTCAGATCAGCTTTGCCTTTCTTAGAGCTTCACGCATAATGTTTACATACAAAGTACACATATACTTTCAGTATATCTGCGTTGAACAGCTGATAACAAAAATGATCAAGTATTTTTAAACGATCGGTAATTCTTGTTAATTATCTAAAACCGAGGTAGCTCTAAACATTGGATTAAACTCATGCAACCCCCAAAGATTTCTGAAAAAATTCCATCTGCTGAAACCTGCTCACATGAAGGTTCAGAGAGAAGGAAATTAGCTGTGTAAAGAAAATGTATCTTTTAATCAAGTGGAGAAGTCTTATTTTTAATAGTTTGTCTGTATATTGTTATAATTAGGTTCAGTACTGATGAAATTGAGCTTGAAGTTAAGAGTTAAGTTTTTGCACTAAGAATTGTAATAGATCAAAGACATTTTATTTGAATATGATTTACTGACATATACTCATTCTTATCTATTTGTGAATATTTCCCCAGGAGATGCAATATGAGGCAATTTTGAGACCATGCAATACTTGCATCAATCAATTCTCTATGACACAATAAACATAATGATACAAATTGTCTTCATTGTGCATGTGATACCCATGAAGATCCGGGTCAGAATTGATCTTCAGCAACCCATGCTTGTCAGTAAGAGGCGGCTAACGGCGTAGATCAGTACTCAAACTGTTGATCACTGGATTGTCTGGTCCAGACTCTTATTATTTACAGACTGACCCCAAATAGCTGATATAATGCTGAGTGTGGCATAGAACTAAACTCACTCACTCATTGTACATGAACAGAGAAAGGCATGGTGGCTCAGTGGCACATGATGCTCTGCTTCTATAAAAGTTTTCTCCCTTGGCCCCATCAGGATCAATTGCTCATGGATTCACCATAATCATCCTTCTGGTCCTTTTTGGGCTGTGGGGTAGCCTAGTGGTTAAAGCGTTCGCTCGTCCCAGGTTCGATTCCCCACTTGAATACAATGTGTGAAGCCCATTTTTGGTGTCCTCTGCCGTGATATTGCAGGAATATTGCTCAAAGCGGCGTAAAACCAAACTCATTCACTCTGGTCCTGTCAGCACCATTCAAAACATACAATACAACACTTTGGACTCTTTGAACCTTCCGACATGATCGTCATGAGTTCAAATCTTGGTCCCTTCCGATTATGTTTCAAGGTTTGTCTACACCATACCCTTGGGTTTCACTGAAGTGGGAAACATCTGTGATCTAAGTGACTTTGTGCTTGCACATAGAGCTAACAGCCTTGATCATGTTGATAACTAGAATATTGTTCAAAGTGGCATCCATCCAAAAAATCCAAACAGGATCGGGTGGTCAGACTTGCTGACTTGGTCAACACATGTCATCGTATCCCAATTGCATAGATCAATGCTCATGTTGTTGATCACTGGATTGTTACAGGCCGACGCTATATAGCTGGAATATTGCTGAAAGTGGCATAAAACTAAACTCACACTGAGATGGATAGTGCCTGCCCCGAGAGCAGTGGTTTGGTGGGCTGTGTCAATGTTAATGGTAGCAAGGCATCGGTTACCTAGCACTATACAACCAGCATGTCTAACCATGCAATCTAGGCTGTTCAAGCAGCTACATATGGTGTGGGAGTTATTGAAAATAATTACCATATATGAAATTATACCAACTGGGACGTTTCAACAATTATTCATTGATATAAGAATATGTTCGCAGTTTCAAAACAAAACGAGCCACAAAGCCAAACCATGGAAAACACACCGAAGTTAATAATAAATAACCGCATGAATTACACAGGACACTGTCCACATTAAGTTTGTATCTGTAAAAGAGTGCACACTTGGTCATCATTCAAAATGTGGGTTATCATTATGATAATACTGTCAGGACGGCAGGATATAATCAGACAGTTCACACCTGATTCAGGGCATTGTGACCTTGCCCAACAACCATCACTGATCACAGGTATTGTGATGTCACGGAAAATGTACAATTGAGTAATTGTTCCAGTTTCTTTATCGAACTTTAAGAGTAAAATACATGTTGTCTTAGTGTGATGCAAAGGGTGCTTGAATCAAAACATGTAAACAACATGACCTTTCAATATACCAGACATGACACTACCCGTGAAGATCAGGGTTAGAATTGATCTTCAGTAACCCATGCTTGTCTGTCGTAAGAGGAGACTAACAGGATCAGGTGGTCAGGCTCGCTGACTTGGTTGACACGTCATCGGTTCCCAATTGCGCAGATCGATGCTCCTGCTGTTGATCACTGGATTGTCTGGTCCAGACTTCGATTATTTAGACCGCCGCCATATAGCTAGAATATTGCTGAGTGTGGCGTAAAACTCAACTCACTCACCCCAGACATGACACAAAGAATGGGCTACACATGTTGTGTGTAACTGGAAACCCAGTTTTCAAGATTTGCCATTAAAATCCAGGGTTCCTTTTACAACCCCAATGTTAAATATAAAATATTTATGAGGTTCCAGATTATAGAGGTCAAATAATATAGACACATTGGACAGCTGACCCTAATACCTAAACTTTTAACACTCCACATCCACATCAGGAATCAAACCTTAGATCTGTGTATGATGCAGCAAGTCTTTAAGCAAAAGCATATTCCAGTGCCCATAAATAACACAAAACAAAGTTGTATACATAAAATTTTATTTTTTCCCTGATAAGGGCCTTAAAACACAGAGTTATGTCCCTTGTCACCATGATGTTCCTCCTTTCCATCAAGACGAGTCTACCACCATAGATAAACACCCTACATCCTGAACCAGTTAACAATATGGCAAGAAGTTCATCAAGCTGTTGGATAACAAACACAATTTTTAAAAGAGGCAAGGAAAGGAGTACTGATGAGGAAAGACTCTTATTCCAAAAGTTACATTTAATACCGTGATCAACAAAACCTGTCTTGCAAGGTGGTTTTATTTACATGGATAGAAACGGGAAAACAGTGTTGTGATAAGAGATTTGTGAAAATTTGTAAGGACTACTGATTTTACATTAGCTACTACTACTAGTCCAAACTGAGCTGGGGACTAGCTTATTGTGGCAAAATTGTGTCTCCCTCGTACTCTGGTCTGCCTTTCACACGTTCACCAAAACATAAATGCAAATACCTACAGGTAAAAACAGCATTTTCTGTTAACATCAAAATCAAATAAATTTTCACTCTCATCATTAAACGTTGACATGAATATCACCGGTCACCCAGATCCTAATGAATTCTGCAACAAGGGTTCTGAATCACTCATTGCAGATAATTGATCAAACACACAGACTTACTAATGGTGGAAGTCTCCACAGATGCTCACTGGCCACACAGATAAGATATCCTGCAAATCTGAATCCTAATTGTACATATACTGATATGTATCTCTGCTGTAGACATGACTGAATAAACACTCCGTTACCATGCTTTCTCTCACAACCAACACATTCACTTTACATTCTGAATAAATATTTCAATACTGTTAGTATCTTCTCTACACAACAAACATAATGTGACCACTATTTTCTTACAGATTTACATAATTATATAAATATTGCTTTGCTTTATAAAAGTGGCTCACAAGTCAAAATTAGTAACTCCAGAGTTATCTCCCTTTGGATATTTCATGTTTTATCAGAATGTTGAAATCTATCTTTAGATATTAGTATAAATTTTAAAGCCTGTTAGGTTTGTTTTGGTATTTTGTGCGTACACTGCACCTTCCATTATGCAGCACCAGACTGTCTACGAAGTTTTCTTTTCCTCAGCTGCTTTAGTTTCTGGGGCTGGTAAGGCAGGCTGTCCCTCCTGAAGAGATCTTCTATACCTGTTGGAACAGCAACAGAAAGCATTATCACACAGCATGATTCATACAAAACGTGTGCCACAGAATTAAGTCTTCTTGAACAAGGCAACTGTCCACTTTCCAAGAAAGAAAGTAACCAACCAAAGTATGCATTAGACCATATTTACAAGGACATTCAACCGTGTCCGTGGTGTAGTGGTTAGGGAAAAAGCAGAGAGTGGAAGGTCGCAGGCTCACTCCCTGGCCATGTCATACCAAAAGACGTTAAAATACGGTACTTGTTGGTCCCTACCAGGCACTCGGCATCAATGGGTACTGCAAGGACTGGTCGGCTCAGAGTCAGTATAATGTGTCTGAGTGGGGTATTCATGCTTAACTGCGGCATGGTGTCTCAGTGAGCTAGCACTATAAAACCAGTTTAAGTCTGGGCTAGTACAAGCAGCCACACATACACACGCATGCACATAGTCATATGAACGAAATATTCTTAAGTACAACGTTAAACACCATTTCATCTCACCTCACCTAACAAGGACATTATAATGCTTTCATGTTCAGAATGCAGATCAAACTCCATAATCCAAGCCAAAACACCAGTGCTGTTATAGTAGAATCTATCAATAAAGTAGCACACTACACAATGCCCTGTGCAGTCTTAGATAATAACACTATTACTATTAGTAACAACAATGGCATTTCGAACATCATTCCGTTTTGATGCTTTATAATGTACTGAGGATGTGTTATCACCATCTTTGTATTTTAAACAAGAATGAGGAGCACATTAAACTTACGTAAAAATTCTGCTCAGCTGGAATATTCCTGTCAAACCGACAAAGATGTTCACCATGAAAAGATTGTAGTTCTTTGGGATGATCACAAGGGAGTAGCGGGCCCATATACAACCTGTCAAAGAAGATTACATTAATCACATGTGATCAGAACATGACATACTGAGGGTAACGATAGAGAGGGTTGGTGGATTGTTTAACGCCACACTCAGCAATATTCCAGCTATATGGCAGTGGTCTGTAAATAAATGAGTCTGGACCAGACAATCAAGTGATCAACTCCATGGGCATCGATCTACGCGTGACATGTGTCAACCAAGTCGGCGAGTCTGACCACCCGATTAAGTTAGTCACATCTTACGACTAGCATGGGTTACTGACAATCAGTTCTAACCCGGATATTCACAGGTCGAAAGGGAGGGTAGTTAGTTAATGTTTTGTGCTGTATCAGTAATATTGCAGCTATCTGTAGCTGCAACTATAGGAACCAAAGAATGGAATCTGTCCATGGAGTCTGTTTTACCAGATAAATACCTGGCCCCTTTTTACAAAACAGCTTAATCTCTAGCCTGATTCAAACAGCACAATGTCGTCCAATCACATTACTCCCACCAGTGAGAGAATTTTCATATCATTCTGGAGACTGATTACTGGAGGTGGCAGCATTACTTTTAAAACCAAGCTATGGTGGTGAATGGGTCCTGGGTAATAATAGAATGGAGATACATGTATAAAAGTTGGTGGAACTCCGTAACATTTAAGGCATATATTAATCAAGTCTGGACGAGACAAACCAGCCACTTATATAATGAACAACATCATACATTGCCAGCATACTGGTATACTGAAAAACACTTTTCAAATGACATGTATTGCAAAACACCTTCTGAGAAACGGTATAGTGGGTAAAACCATATATGAACTTTTGTGATTATCTCAATAATGTAAGTAAAGCCCACACAGACTTCCATTCACAACTGATATTTCCTTTCATAATTTATTACAAAACTTTATATGTTATATACTGTAGTGAGTGATTTTAGTTTTACATCGCTTTCAGCAACCATAACACACATTTTAGGGCCTTAGTAGTGTACAAAACAGGATCTGCATGTACAACCAATGCTAATCACACAAACACTTCAGCTCTCAGTAGAGTTCAATATGTATTTCAATGTGGGTACCTGAATCACAATATATTGCAATACAATATATTACTGCCAGGACATGATGTGACATGCAATCAGTCACTCTCCGAATCTTTTACCAAGTATTTGCCTAGTATGATCAACATAGTGATACTTGTAATCCTTAATCCCAAAAGGGTTTTATTTTGCACCTAGCAATATTGCATCATTGATTAGCCTACCTGTAGCAGCAAGAGCTGATGACTGGTATAGACTCAGTTTCTCGGGAGGACGAGCAATGTCACCTATACCTGCAATAACTAATGCCTGTAAAATAGAAAAGTTCTTTGAAACTTATGAATTAACACTAAAAAGTGCCAAATGGCAGAGAGTTTACCCATCATTATTGATTGGATATATCACTGTAGGAAGATATCATGGCTCTTCAACATACTGAAGTGCTTGCTTGTATGTTGCATTTAATCATACAATTGGTTGGAAGTACTGACACTGACAAGGCACATTATTGTGACTGTCCAGGGGTGGAAATAACCCATTGCCCGATGCCCCAGTCCAGTGTTTTTTTCGGTCGGGCAAGCAAATTTGTATATCACACTGTACCGGTGTCCAGTTGACTTTCCAATGTTAATAATGTTGATTATTTAATCAATCAACAAGAAAATTGGCCAGTATAATGGAAAAAGTGATTTTACATGTGCCACTGTACCAGAGTACACTAGCAATTTTTAAGTTATTTCCACCCCTGCTGTCCATAAGAAATAATGAGATCTGGCCATAGTTCAAAATCATACCATTATACCGTTCAACATATATTTCAGCTCAGCCATTTTCAATAGATGTGTGATATTTAACAAGATGTGACTACACTCGTAGCTTGTCGATCAAGAAGCACTGTCCTGCTATTACTCTAGTGACAAAACACTGACTGACTGAGTTTGGTTTTTACGCTGCTTTTAGCAATATTCCAGCAACATCACGGCAGGGGACACCATAAATGGGCTTCACACATTGTGCCCATGTGGGGATTCGAACTCGGGTCTTCGGCGTGACGAGCCAACGCTTTAACCATTAGGCTACCCCACGGCCCCCTAGTGACAAAACAGATCATAAAGACATGACATAGTTTTTGTTCTGTCAAAATGCCATCTGATATGTCGTCTGCTTGGTGTTGATATCTTCTATCAGAAAATCACATTGATTGTGTGAGGACCAGTGGAAGTAAATAGCAAGCCAACGGGGTAAGTGAAAACATATGACATCATTCCAAACTATCATGGCCACATTTGGAACTTCAGAAGAGATCGATACAGATTTTACCTTCAAATACTTTCATGTTAGATATCTGAATTAAGAGTCATTTACCATATCAACACGTACATGATGTAGGTACCATATTAAATTGATTAGAGTATTCATTTGTATTTCACTAGTATGTGTATTATCTATGTACTATGATGACAGTTACTGTAATTATTTTAGCATTCAGGTAACATACCCATTTGAAAGTAGGAGCCCAGAAGAAGATTGTTTTTGGACCTGAAACACAGAACATAGAAATGAGCAACAGGTGAAGGTTTACTTCAGATTATCAGACATTAAACTGAATGCCTTTTTAGGCCAAACAACAATTTTCACGCCCAATAGAAACACATGTAAATACATGTATAACATGAACAAACATTAAGTGGGTTGAATGTGGGACCAACCATCAAAGGGAAGTAACTCTTAGCTACAATGTTGCTCTGGGAAGTTTTGTTTCAACACATTGTAATTGCAAGGTATTGTTTGTTATCCCCCGCAACAACGAAGTTGCCGGGGATATAGAAACGAGTTCCGTCCGTCCGTCACACATGGTCCGAAGCATATCTCCTAAACTATTAGTGATAGCTTAACCAAACTTGGTACACATGTCACAGCATGATCTCTAGATGTGCCTTTTGGTGGTTACACCCAGATATGAATTTTATTTTTTGCGGTTTCCATGGAAACATGACTTATGCTGTGACTATGAGGATGTCATCTTGTCCAGAGCAGATCTCCCAAACTATACATGCTAGCTTCATCCAACTTGGTACATATGTCAAGCATGATCCCTAGATGTGCCTTTTGGGGTTTAGACCCAGATATGAAGTTTATTTTTTGTGGTTTTACACTGTGGCTATGAAGATGTCATCTTGTCCATAGCAGATCTCCTAAATTATACATGCTAGCTTCATCAAACTTGGTACACATATCAAGCATGATCCCTAGATGTGCCTTTGGGGGGTTACACCCAGTATGAATTTTATTTTTTGTGGTTTCCATGGAAACGTGACTTTGGCTGTGACTATGAGGATGTCATCTTGTTGCCATGGCAACAGGTTAGGCTTCAACTGAATTTGAGGATAGTGCTCCTCTCTGGAGCAGATCTTAAAAACCTTTCAATACTCTCCTTCCACTTTGCTGTATACACTCCAAACCATTTGACATAATCATAACTAGTAGACATATTCATAAAGAGTATTTTGCCGTTGCGGGGGATATTGATGACTTTGTCTACTTGTTTTAGCTGCTACAAAATCATAACCTGACAAATTTGGCCAAACTGGGGTATCAGGCAAATAATTGGTAATTAGGGCCTTTTCAAGGCTTAAACGAATTCAAGGTATTTTTAGGGTAAAACGTGCATATTTCAAGCTTTTCCAAGCAGATGCGAGCCCTGATCCAACATGGTATGACATTTACATGACGAGTCTTACTCTTAGTTAGCAATTTCAAGATAGCACTGGAACATAACAAAATATTTGGAATATCTCACAGGTACATACTAAATGGTTTCGAACACCAACTAGGACTGAAAAATATTCCATGATAATCTTTTATTATGCATTGAACTGACGTAAGAGAGTTTTCACCCCATAATCAGTAAGAGAATTGTTGAATTATTTTGTAGCCACCAGCAAAACACATTCCTCTCTTGCGGTTCTGTTTTCAGTACAGTGAATCTCTATTAATCAGAAACAATCTATGACCTTGACACACTAAGTAATGGCGACGAGTCGGGTTTACATGATGTGAGTACCTGCTGGACTATTCCACAAAGGCACTAGACTGTGAGGAACAAATTTGTCAGCTGCAGCAATCATGCTGCGATAAATTGCTGACATTTTGATTGCTTTCGTCTCCCCTCTTCGTATGTTTGGCAACCCGTTTACTACTCAAGGGGAGATAACTCTACTCTACTTCCTTTTTGTGATATGGCGAATCGTTCCTGTTCCAAGTACGTCGTTCTTCAGCCACAAGAACTTCTCACACTCGTGGCTCTTTGAAATAAAAGGGAATTTATAGAGTGTTTTGTTGTTTCCTGTGGAAATTGGTTTAATCTTTCATATCAACGGATATTGACTGGATCGAAATTACGTTTGATGAATTATTGGAATAATCTGGAAAACCTGACATGTTCAAGATAATGCTTGATGTATCTAATAATACTCGTAAGCTGGTTGAATAGAATATCTTGATCAGTCAGTCAACATTTCTAGTCGCTTTTAAGAACAGCAAAAGTTTGAGAAGTGTACTTCCATTCACCATTAGACTGGAACTTGCATCGGCATATTGAGGTGAAACGAAATATTAAAATATTAGTCGATGTTTCGTTTGTCTGTTGTTTACGCCACACTCAGCAATATTTCAGCTATATTTTGGTGGTCTGTACATAGATGAATCTGAACCAGACATCCATGTATTGATATCGTATATGACCATCGATCTGTACAATTCTGATACGGACCAAGTCAGCGATTCTGACCACCCGATCCCGTTAGTCGCCGCTTACGACAAGCATGATCGCTAGAGACCAATTCTTCATGATGTAATTGTAGTTTTGTATCAACAGGTCATGCACGATACAATGCAGTGATGTACATATAAAGGGAACATGAAAACTATTAAAAGAATAGTGAACATTATATTCTGACGCCGCGCACAGGCTAAACGTGAATCCCTTCTCTTCTTTCGAAAGGACACCGCCTCCTACACTATCCGTGGTGTAGTGGTTAGAGCGTCCACCTAGAGAGCGGAAGGTCGCGGGTTCGAACCCCGGCCGCGCCATACCAAAAGACGTTGAATTTGGAACTTGTTGGTTGCGCTTGGCAGTAATGGGTACAACAAGGACTGGTCGGCTCCGTGTCAGTATAATGTATCTGAGCGGGGTATTCATGCTTAACTGTGGCTCAGTGGGCTAGCACTATAAAACCATTTGATTTGTACTACTGTAGCGCTTGGTCTTTGGCAATATGGCGGACTCCAGGCACATTTGACGTCACGAGCGGAAAGATCACGTGGGTTCCAGCGAAATATGCATAATGGCCGAAGCTGAGATTTACAGAAACTGTTTTCGCGATTAAGGAACTTACTCCACAATATACCGTCCATTTCCAATCAAGGTAGGGGCGGTGGGGTAGCCTAGTGGTTAAAGCGTTCGCTCGTCACGCCGAAGACCCGGGTTCGATTCTCCATATGGGTACAATGTGTGAAGTCAATTTCTGGTGTCCCCCGCCGTGATATTGCTGGAATATTGCTAAAAGCGGCGTAAAACCATACTCACTCACAGGTGTTGTGAATAGTCCGTATGAAAGTTAAACATCCTCTATATACTTTGTTGGCTTTTGAACATATCATATTGACACTGAACATGAATATAGACTATATGAATATATACTGATGATCAGGGTAGCGCCGTTAAAGCCAACTCAGATTTCAGTTACAACAATGTTGCTGAATGTTTAAGGTCGCATTTAATGGGTTTCTTTCTTACATTTTCATATTATTCATCTGATATGGGATAGCAAGGGAATGTAATCTTAACCAACTCATTGGGTGATTCACAAGAAAAACGACGAAAAAACTTAAACAGACATAAGAATCTGGGATTCGAATTCACTACCTCTGGGGGAACAAAGGACAACCCCAAAGCACTGCGTGACCCCCAGGGAATCGAATTTCACTACCTCTGGAGGAGCTAAGGGCGTCCACAAAGCACTAGGCCATCCCTAGGGATTCGAATTCACTACCTCTGGAGGAGCTAAGGGCGTCCCCAAAGGATTCGAATCCTAAGCTAAGGGCGTCCCCAAAGCACTAGGCCATCTCTGGAGATACGAATTTCACTACCTGTGGAGGAATCAAGGACGCCCCCAAAGTACTAGGCCATCCATAGGGATTCTAATTTCACTACCTCTGGAGGGACTATGGACGCCCCAAACAACTAAGACACCCCTTGAACCTTCTGTAATGAGCTCGTATCAGGAGATAAATGTTACGTGTCCCATGCGTGCTGGAGTATTCGATGTCCGAAGATTGTACTCGGAACGCCACGCTTGGGACTAAGATTAAGTTACTTCTAACGCAATATAGACAAGGATTCTCAACAAAATCGTCCTTGTACATGCGTTTAATAAATAGTGCTGGTGCATGGTCTGTTCGTCAATGGGGCGGTGGGTAGCCCAGTGGTTAAAAGCGTTCGCTCGTCACGCCGAAGGATCGGGTTCGATTCTCCATATGGGTACAATGTGTGAAGTCTATTTCTGGTGTCCCCCGCCGTGATATTGCTGGAATATTGCTAAAAGCGGCGTAAAACCATACTCACTCACAGGTGTTGTGAATAGTCCGTATGAAAGAAGTTAAACATCCTCTATATACTTTGTTGGCTTTTTGAACATATCATATTGACACTGAACATGAATATAGACTATATAAATATATACTGATGATCAGGGTAGCGCCGTTAAAAGCCAACTCAGATTTCAGTTACAACAATGTTGCTGAATGTTTAGGTCACATTTAATGGGTTTCTTTCTTACATTTTCATATTATTCATCTGATATGGGATAGCAAGGGAATGTAATCTTAACCAACTCATTGGGTGATTCACAAGAAAAACGACGAAAAAACTTAAACAGACATAAGAATCTGGGATTCGAATTCACTACCTCTGGGGGAACAAAGGACAACCCCAAAGCACTGCGTGACCCCAAGGGAATCGAATTTCACTACCTCTGGAGGAGCTAAGGGCGTCCACAAAGCACTAGGCCATCCCTAGGGATTCGAAATTCACTACCTCTGGGGGAACTAAGGACGTCCACAAAGCACTAGGCCACCCCTAGGGATTCGAATTCACTACCTCTGGAGGAGCTAAGGGCGTCCCCAAAGCACTAGGCCATCTCTGGAGATACGAATTTCACTACCTGTGGAGGAATCAAGGACGCCCCCAAAGTACTAGGCCATCCATAGGGATTCTAATTTCACTACCTCTGGAGGGACTATGGACGCCCCAAACAACTAAGACACCCCTTGAACCTTCTGTAATGAGCTCGTATCAGGAGATAAATGTTACGTGTCCCATGCGTGCTGGAGTATTCGATGTCCGAAGATTGTACTCGGAACGCCACGCTTGGGACTAAGATTAAGTTACTTCTAACGCAATATAGACAAGGATTCTCAACAAAATCGTCCTTGTACATGCGTTTAATAATTTATAATGAAGAGTTCCTTCAATAAAGGAGACCCGTGAAGGTCCGGGTTAGAATTGATCTTCAGTAACCCATGATTTTCGTAAGAGGCGACTAACGGGATCAGGTGGTCAGGCTCGCTGACTGGGTTGACAGATGTCATCGTATCCCAATTGCGTAGATCGATGTTCATGATGTTGATCCCTGGATTGTCTGGTCCAGACTCGATTATTTACAGGCCGGAATAATGCTGAATGCGGCGTAGAACTAAACTCACTCACTCACAATAAAGGAAGTCATCGAGGGATACTATCGCGTTGGAAGGCCTAAAATAACACGTGAGCTACCTACGTCACAGTGGGATATCCCTTCAGCTGACGACACCGGTGCTATGGGTACGAGTGAAGAGATACCTCATAACGCTATAATTAGCACGCCTCGTTCGGGACTTTAAATGAACACATGATGTGTACCCTAACATCTGGGCACTATCAAATCACTTGGACAAATCTCAAGATCTAGGATGATGCCACAATCATCAGCATCAGCAGTGCACTGACGGGAGAAGGGGTTCACTCGTCGTCAATGGCGCCCAGGGACACAGTTGACAGTGTTGACTGTGAAGACAGGCGATGGATAGAATAATATAATGACATAGCTATCCTTCTGATTCCAGTCTGTCATTCAATACCAGCCCTTAGATGATGGTAATTTTATCAAGACGTTTGAATACCATAGTGTGCTGGTGCATGGTCTGTTCGTCAATGGGGCGGTGGGGTAGCCCAGTGGTCATGGCGTTCGCTCGTCACGCCGAAGGATCGGGTTCGATTCCCCACATGGGTACAATGTGTGAAGCCTATATCTGGTATCATCCGCCGTGACATTGTTGGAATATTGCTAAAAGCGGCTTAAAACCCAGCTCACTCACGCTCTCGCTGTTCGTCTAGGGCATAGGAGCGTGTCTCGCTTAGAAACAGCGTTAGGAAGACATATAGGTGTAAAGGCCTAACCCTATTATTATTCTATATAGTAATAGGGTTAGGTCTATACACCTATATGTCTTTCTAACGCTGTTTCTAAGCGAGACACTCCCTTATGGTCTAAGGCGCCGCCGCAAGTCGCTGTGCGGAGTTGCGACCCTTAGGTACGCTAGAAAACTGATTCCGGTTTCTCCCCGATACCGTTTCCAGGTTTGTCAACACCATACCCGTATACCATGTTGTAAATGTGTGATACCTGTATCAGGGGCTGTCATTCCACATTGATGTGACACGCCGTGATACATCGTGAGTAGACCCGTGGATATCCGGCTTAGAATTGGTCTTCATTCCACATTGATGTGACACGCCGTGATACATCGTGAGTAGACCCGTGGATATCCGGCTTAGAATTGGTCTTCAGTAACCCATGCTTGTCGTAAGAGGCGACTAACGGGCTCGGGTGGTCAGGCTCGCTGACTTGGTTGACACATGTCATCGTATCGCAAATGCGTAGATCACTCAATTATTTACAGGCCGCCGCCATATAGCTGGAATATTGCTGAGTGCGTCGTACAACTACACTCACTCACATCGTGAATACTGTTCAAAGCGGAGTTTAACCCCGCTCACTCACTCACTCACTCTCTCACTCACTCACTCACTCACTATTACAGTCCTCCAGGCACTTCAGGAACCACTGTTAACACGGACACAACAACAAACACCACAGGTATTTAAGAATAGTT